TGAAATACATGACACCGCCATATTTTGATTAGCGTTATCTTTTGACAAGAAAAAATATACAACTTAATTTTGTTTCTAATGAGTGCTACAGAGTAAAATAAATTTTCTAACGCCATAAAATTTTTATGGAAGCATATTTCTGCCACGTTTACGTAGATTTTACAGAGTCTACCAAAACATTATCACCTTCAAAAAAAAGTTGAAGAAAGAAAGCGCGCAAATATTTAAATACTTCGTCCGAACAGTCTATATGTTCGGGCGATTTTCACGCCTATGCAACTGTCTTGTCCCAAGGTGTGTCAACAGAGAATTGCAAATGATTGGTTCAATAAAATTAATTAAAACCAAGACCCTTTTCAACGCCGTGGCTAGTTGTGGACATTCTAATACTAAAGTCATTTTCAAAACAAAACGTCTTTGCGCGTTGCAGAAACATTCCAATGGAATTTTAGAATTTTTGACACATAGATTTTGAGATAGTCGCTCATTTGTACCGAATGGTCACATGACTTCATTCTGGACTTGAGCGACAAGAAACAATTAGTTTTGCCCCGGGCTTCGATGATACTGAGAGATACGAAATTCTAAACTTCTCTTCGACTTTTTTGCCTTTCGCTTGTGTATCGGTCCATACTTTCGCTTGGTGGTAAGTAAAATGCTTTATTTTATCAGGATTCTTTTAATATAAAACGGATCCCGTATATTCTCAGCAGCAATTCATTTTTCCTTTGTTATTATAAATGATATTAGGATTTCTTCAATTTATCTTTTATTTTCATAAAACATTCCTAATTAATTGCCAAGAAAACTGCTGAAAATTCTCTTCTATTATTACCAATTTTACATGTTATTCTTTAAATTTTTTTATTTAGCAAATCTTTAGTCATACAGTATATATTGTCAAATTTTAATTACTGGGAATTTTATTTCCCGCGGGTAGACTGAGTTGTGTCATTATTACAAGTATCTCTAGTTTACATCTAGAATGTTATCCTATGTATATCATCTTTATTAATTTAAGTGTCTTTTATAATTAAACTTAGATATATTTAACTGGTTTATATTTAAGAATTTTATTCAAGAAATTATCTATTCTATTTGTACCCAACAAACAAATGAAAAATAAATGTCATATATATAAATTATGCATGTAAAACAAGAATGTCAGTCTTTATATATAAATTTTATCTTACACGTTTATATTGATTATTTGTAGGACATAAATCGAAGTAGTTGTTAAGATCATTGATTTGCATACCGTTTGTTGAACTATTTCAGTCGATAATAAATATAAATTTAACTTTCACCCGTATTTAAATGTATTATTAATGAGATCCTTTTTCTAAATTATAGAAATGTGAATTGTATTTTTCTTCACATTTTGCAGTTTCTATATGCTTATGCATGTGTATCATCCTAGTATCTAGATTATCATATTACTTTTTCAATTGGTCAAATTTAAGGATTTTTGAGAGTGTATTTGAACAACGTCTGAAATTACTGTATATTTGACAAAATTCTCTTCCGGGTTTTTCTATAATCAATAAGTTTCTAACTTATGCAGATAAAAGTAACTTTCTTTATATATACATATTCCAAATTGATACAAAGCAGTGCTATTTTCTTTTGAAATATAATGAACAATTTTGAAAAAATTAATTATAAAAATAGAATGGATTTCCTTATAAATTTGATAAGGAAAGTTACATTTAGATACCTTCAATCATATGATGAAATAAAACAATCATTCTCCACTAGATAAAAAAAAATATATTTTACTCTTTTAAAAAGCCGGAAGCACCCCCTCCCACTTGGGAATAAAAAGAAAGGCATTATTCCGGAATATGCATGATATGTAAAATATTGAAGCCCCTGTGTCAGTTGACTGGGACGCTCTGTGACATTTTTGCACCCTGTTCCCAGCTCCATCATGTGTTCACAGATTTCTCTCCCCTTTGTGCTCTTCCCTATTGCAGTCTTGACTGACAACTTTATGGCGCTCTGATGACACAGGACTGATCAGTCCAGTCAGCCACTACTACCGACCTGTTGTTAATTGTCGTTCTATAGCATGTTTAACGACATTGCCGGTCAGTTTATGGCAGACTAATTGATAATTTGCTATGCGTCGAAAAACTGCAAATAAGGTTTCTTTTTATCATTCATGGGCTTTTGTATTTTTGTTTGAAGTTGCAGAAGATCCATTTTTAAAACAAATTTTAGGTAATTTTGATAAGTTTTTAACGATTTTAGAAAATTGTAAATATTTAAAAAAAAATTATTCTTATCGTGGTAACAAAATATTTCAACTGAAGAAGAAAAAAAGAAAAGAAAGCAAAAAGAAAAGAAATTTTAAAAATCTATTATAAAAACAATACAATCAAGAGTAGATTGCTCCAATCGTTTGTTTTTTTCCCGATAAATATATACATTGCGTATAACATTAGGAGAGATGATAAAGTAATATCTTCCTTCTTTCTGTTATTTATATATCTGCCTATTTTTTCTATGCCATTTCGTATTTTAGGATTCATCATGAATAATAATATACTAGGTATGAAAGAGAGATAACGAACAATAATCAGACTCAAAAGTCCATTGAGATAACACAAATTGGAAGCAGAACAAATTCGGACCTCTAAATTCATCAGAGGTGAGATCAGGGGCCCTGAGGGAGTAAGCACCCCCCTGTTTACCGGCCACATCCGCCGTCTGCTCCAATGAACAGTTTTCTCGTGCGTGAGTCGCTGCCTAGAGGTTCTCGTTAAAAATCGTTGAATTTTACTGCGTCTTTTGTTTCATATCAACATACATTTTTTTCATATAGAATAAATATATACAGATCCTACGATAAAGATTTTAACGGAACGATAATTCTTGTCCACTAGCAAAATTTTAGGCAGCCAGTTTATCAACAGAAGGTATAGCTGTTCTTGTAAACAATACAAGACAAAAAGAATATTTATGCACTACATGTATCTTTAGATTAATTTTGTTTTTCTTGCCTTGAAAGGATGTTTTGTTTTGTTATATAGGAGTATCATTGTACAATTGTTTTAAATGTTCTTGTACATGTAGCAAAGTCATGCATTTGAAAACGTGAAGGGTAAGAATATTTTTTTAAATTTATTTGCAATCAATTTGAAAAAAGCAGTTTGCATTGAACTCTATCCAGATGCTATGCAGTGATTTTTTTTTTCTGTGTATCACAATTTTTTTTAATGACTTTACAAAACACTGCTATGTTTCATTTTGCATAGTTTTATGTTTGCGATTTTCCCAGTGATTTACTTGAGTTTTGTATATAATCTATTTGATAAACAACTTGAGTTAATATTATGTGACATTATTTTTTGGCGATCTACAAATGCTTGCAAACATAGCGTAAATTGAATGTTACACGGTGAGTGATGGTTGTTTGATCAAGTCAATTATTACCTATAGAAGGAAATTCAGTCATTTACTGCTCTGCATTCACTGTCTTGTCTAGATGCAGTTTTTTTTTATTGAAAATAAAAGGATAACGTAACAAATTTGAATTTTTATTTCTGTAAAGAAAAAAACTGAAAATGTAATAATTACCGGTAGGACGTTGTCTGATTCTCATTAAAGAGAGATATAATGTACAGTGTATCTAATGATGACTAACAGAAGGCGTCAACTGTATTATATGGATAAATTCATGTGGTGATGAGACTTTTTCATCATATACTGAAACTTTCTTCATTAAGTGCTGATTCTTTGTATTTCTTCATTATCATAAGCTGATACTTTGTGTTTCATCATTATTATAAGCTGATGTACTTTGTCTTTCTATATTACTAGTATGTGCTGATATTTTGTCTTTCTTCTGTATACTGATACTTTGTCTTTCTTCATTTTGTGCTTATGCTTAAAGTCTGTCATTCTACATCATATGCTGAAACTTTGTCATTCTACATCATATGCTGATACTTTGTCATTCTACATCATATGCTGTCAGATACTTTGTATTTCTACATCATATGCTGATACTTTATCATTCTACATCATATGCTGATACTTTGTATTTCTACATCATATGCTGATACTTTGTATTTCTACATCATATGCTGATACTTTGTCATTCTACATCATATGCTGATACTTTGTCATTCTACATCATATGCTGATACTTTGTCGTTCTACATCATATGCTGAAACTTTGTATTTCTTCATCATATGCTGATACTTTTTCGTTCTTCATTATGTGCTGAAACTTTGTCTTTCTACATCGTATGCTGAATTTTGTTTTCTTCTGTATACTGATATTTTGTTTTTCTTCATTATATAATTATGTTTTATATTTCTTCATTAAATGCTGATACTTTGTTTCCCCCATTTTTTGCTCAGTCTGGTACTTTGTCTTTCGACATTATATGCTGATAGTTTGTTTTTCTACATTATATACCGATACCTTGTCTTCCTTCAATATTTTAAGCTTATGTACGTTGTCTTTCATCATTAAATGCTGATGTTTTGTCTTTCCAAATTATTAACTGTTACTTTGCTTTTCTACATTATACATGTATGCTGATACTTTATATTTCTACATTATGTGCTGATACATTGTATTTCTACATCATATGCTGATACTTTGTCTTTCTTCATTATACGCTGGTAGTTGTATAACATACAATATCTACAATATGACGACAAAATAATGAAACTCTCAGAAACATTGTGAACAGGTATTTTAAAAAAGACAATCAGTGTATACCTTTTTTGTAGCATTGCAATAGATTTGAGATATGTTAGTATTATATCAAATTACGAAATATCCACACAAAATGAATGTTAGCCACATGTATGTAAGACAGTTGAATTAATTGTTGAGATGTTAATATTAAGAGGGAGAGAGAGAGACAGTGTGTAGCACTTTTTAAGCATTAGCTCAAATACGACTCCAAAAAGGATATCGTATAAAATTTTCAATTATAGCTTAAACAATCTCGCTTTCAGAAATCTCTCGATGTTGCCGAATGGAAAAGAAAACCAAATACATAACTGTGCCATGGAGTAAGTTATTCCAAGACGTCATTTTTGAAAACATTGTATTTAAGTTTATCTGATTGTATTGTACAGAAATGTATTTATGGTACGTAAAATTGATATAGCTGATAATTCAAGACCAATTACAAACGGAGAACAATAATGTCTTCCTCAACGTCAAAATTTCTTTACTGAATTAACTTTAAGAAACACAAACAAAATAAATGGACAATGAATTTAATGTTGGTCTATGTTGGACAATTTTCAGATGATAAACAGAAGAGAGGCGCCGTGAGGATGGAGGGAGAACCGGAGTGGATCAGCCGAATGGCGGAGGACCAGGTCATTATCAGACAGTCCAGTGGGGAGGAGGCAGATAGGTCCTCCAGTGAGGGGGGTCCCGAGGACGAATCGGTAAGTGGTCTATAGTGAAGGGGGAGGGGGGTCTTCAGGACGCGGGGGAATAAGGGTCTGCTTACAAAGGAGAATCAGAAAGCGAAGAAGAAAGATTGGTTTAACTGGATGAGGTAGCAAGATATTTGAAAACGATTTTTCTTTGTCCCACAGGAAAGAGGCAAGATATTAACCGAGTCTCTTTACTTACGAAAGTTTCAAAGAAACAAAAATTGTAAGGTCGATTTGGTAAAAGAGAAGACACAGAACTGGCTATACAAGAGAAATTATTAACAATAAAATAAATTATCTGACTGAATCATCCATATAACATTTCTTTGGGGAAAAAACTTTCTACCTTAGAATTTGTCAAGGGAAAAGTACATCAACATATGTAGGTAGAGGAAAAGAGGTAATGAAATAAGGACACGAAGAATGGAAAGTGTGTAGCAGGGCATCGCCTGCATGACAGCTATAGCCATTATCCCGTGGTCTTATTATCTGATTGACCAGGTGTATCAGATGGATGATCAGTCCATTTGGGTTCGATAAATTATCCCCCTGAGATGCTTCTTGACACATTAAATTTCCATTACTTCAATCAAAATACGACACTGTAGAAATTTAGGATATCAGAAGAATACTGTGTATGAATTAATACCTATAATGAATATTTGCTTGCAGCAATTTTTGGATTTAATATCAACAGTTAAAATGTTTGCAAAAATTTTACCACGGGGGCAAAATACTTAGACAAAGATGAAATACAAGATATTTTCTGGATTCTTTTTTTATTTGGAGAAATTCATGAAAATGATATTCTTAAATTGAGATATTGATGATTATTTTTTAACGCCTTTAACCAAATGAAATGATAAAAAAAAAACTTGCTTTCATTCAAGGTAAAAGTTTGGTGTACTTTTTAAGGACAATTCAATGTTTGTATGATTGAATAAAGAAAAAGAAAAATAATGGAAGAATTCAAAACATTTTCCTCCTAAGAAGTATCTTTTTTTAATTTAATTTACTTTTTTAATTCATATTCTAATTTTTAAATTAAAAGACACAAGCACAGAATAAGACCTTAAAGATGAAGGTTTTGTTTCATTACAAAGGAACATTTTGAATTTTGTTTTAAAAATGTTTGTGAATGTTTGCACTGATTCCAGACAATATCTAAATAATTAAACAATTAAATTTATTTTTTTTGTCCATTTACTTCAAGATATACTGATATCGTATAAAAAAACTTCGTGTTTTAGTCAACAGCTACTGAAACTCAAAACATATCTCTCTATATGAAATGTTTCGCTTCTGAAGTAATCAGATATGATTGGCATAATATTATTTTATAGTTTACTTTGTAAGGTGAATACTATTCTTTCCATAATATATTTTCAAATTGATCTAATTACAACTATGGATTTAATATGCCTATAAGCTTTTGTTCCTTTTCAAACCTATGAATGTAACATTTCAAAGGCACCTTTAATGATTAATTGTTTACAAGTAGGAATTAGAGTAAAAAGAAAATCCTAAATATAGTGTGAAAAAGAATTACAAATATCTTTTTTTTTATTTTAGCCTGGAGTAATTCATTTCGATGATGATAAGTTTGGAAATGTGACAGTGTATAACAATTTTTCCCGGCATCACATTGCGGATAAATCCGTTAATTCAGAATACTTGAATACGGGCAGCAAATATAAAGTGAACGGACACACTTCTGCAGGTCTTCATCACAGTAGTCAGTCACATAAAGTGCATTATGCGGACAATGTGGGAATTATTTCAAAAAACTCTCCTCCCAGTTCGATTAATGAGCTGGATAAAAAGACACAAAAAGAAATAAGACGGAGAAGGCGCCGTCGGATTTGTACAGTTATTCTCCTCTTACTCCTGGCTTTGATCATCGGGTTCGGGATCGGACTCCTAGTGTACTTTTTGCTTCTGAATGGTGAGTTGTTAACTCTTTTTTATTTATGTAACAATATACAATTATTACCTGTTTATGGAGTTAAAGTCTCCCATTTTTCTCAATTCACAAGAGAATGCTTTTACTTAAACGAGACAAGCAATAGACAAATAAGTTGAAGGAACAAGAGTATTAAAACTTTTACATATAGCCAACATTTCGCAAATCCTTTAGCTGAAACAAAAACTTCGTTAGAAAATACAATGTAATGTTAAGTCGAATATTGACTTTTGTATCATAAAATTATTAGGCCATTAATTGTTCCCAGACCGAATTGACTACAGATTTTTATCTTTTGTCCGAACACGACACGATATGTGTGACCGACCGATTATGGAAGTTTTCTCCTCCTAGCACCTGATCTTACATCTAATATTTTGGAGGTCCGTGTTTGCTCTGCTCCCTCCCCCCATTTCTTTTTTTCAATGGACTTGTGAGCTTGAATATTTTTTTTTATATTTTAGTGAACTCAACTTGAACCTCGCTTAAAAACCGCTCCTCCAGTTTATTACTTTACAAATTCTTTCTTAATTGTAAGTTTTTACCAATGATGCCCACATCCTCCCCCAATTTTTTCAGTAATTTTATTACATTAATATCATGTATATGTGACTTAACGATTATATTTTCATACTTATTTTACAAATGTAAAATATTTCCCCCCCCCCCCCCCCCCCCCCCCCCCCCCACCCTGAAAAGTATAAAATCTTGCTAGCATTCAATATGATTGTATGATGCAATCAAACACTGATTTTCTTTGAAAGCAATTCCACCTTGATCACTTCAATTTTTCGCCTATAAGATTTTTCCTATCAAACAAAACTATAATGTTGCTCATTTTCTCATAAAAGATGGTTTTCTGTACTTTTGGCAGAGGTGTTGATCTTTTTAACAATTGAGGTATTATGTACATAATTTTTTAAATTCCTTTCTATTTAATTTTTGTGAAGAACAAGACATGAGTTAAATTTGATTCCCTTTTACATATATGTCAAGATCAATATTTTTAAATTGATATCCTGGGAGCTTATTAATGATTATCAAAGCAGAAGAGGCTACAGCTTTTTATGGATATTTTAACCTTTTAATTATTTCTTATTAAATTCACACTGTAAAAAAATAACTAGTTAATGTCACGAAGAAAACTAGTAGATTCACTGTCCATACAGTCACTACCTTAATAGTAGTTTTACCAGATATTGGTATTTTTACTAGATAAGATTAGTTAATTTAGAATTGATGAGTTACTTTCACTAGGTATCTAAGTATCTATACGACTCACTATCTTAACCAGTAAACTGAAAGTTTACTAATCACGATCAACGCTTTACGAAACACACTAGTTAAATTCACTAGGTTTTTCTTTCAGTGCAGGATATTTTCATTTTGGAAAACATCGTACGAAAACATCCCATAAACATTTTGGTAGATATGATAGTTTCAGCTGTGTTTCTAAAAGCAAAATGAAACCATTTAAAAAGATACTTGTATATAAAATGCAGAAAACGGAGTAAAAAATCTTACCTTTATTCACTTTTATAAAATCATTACTCACATAAAAAGAAGCATCATCGTCAGATATTGATAATGAAATATTTGGCTGATCTGAAAGTATCCCCAAACACGATGCAAAACTGTATTTTTCCAAACTTTTTTCCTTTACTTTAAGGATTTCCATCCCTAATGGGACCTAATTCTCTACCCCTAAATGTACGTCAAGTACATAATACACTGATATTATATTAAAGCATTTTATAGTGGAAAAGGATTGCCCGCGAGAAAGTTTTAAAAATGTCATTAATTAAGCAGTAGTTAATTTATAAAGATTGCATTGAAGTCTATGGGGAAAAGCGTTTTTTCAAAATAAAAATTCAAATAATTTGAATATCAATAAATCCTGCGGTGGAAAGATGTATTGAAACATTAAAAATAGAATTACAATTGAAAACAATTTTTTTACCGTCTAAATTTTTTTAAATTAATTTTTTTTTAATTAATTAAAAAAAGGGTAGATAACTCTTACCAAAACTCAAGGTCATAAATTAGGACAGATCCCACTATACATACTAATAGTAATAAATGGGAAGTATGTCTAAAAAAACTGAGTATTCAATGCCTACATATCAGTTATGAATTCAATTTCACTGAATTTGTTTCTATTAGGGATTGAATACCTTAATTGTACATTCGGATTAATGATTCGAGTTTTAAAATAATCTCATCTCATTTTTATGATTTCAGAAGGAACAGGCAATACTTTACAAGAAGCTCAAAAAGGTTGGTTATTCAAATTAAAACTTCATAAATACGACTCATTATGTTTATTGCTGTGTTTATTCAACTCTTTTAAAAGGAAGTTGTCTTGAAAAGTATAAAAGTATCAGTTGTACACGTATTTATCTTACAGATTCCGTCATAGTGAAACTAACATTACCAATTCTAAATGAAACGTTTACATCAGAAATGGAAGACATCAATTCGGACGATTTTCGGCGAATATCAAAACCGCTGTGTGAGGAGGTATTGTATTAACATATTCACAAGAAATCTGTACACTGATGTTAGTTTTATTTTAAAATAAAAAGTATTAATGTATGTATGTTTTCCATGAAGAATTAATTTGAACATATAAAATTATAATATTAAGAATCATTTGTTTAACGATATCTATTTTAAAATGTAAATAAATGCATGTACATGTATGATTTGTCAAAATAATTTAGAAATTTGTTTATCAATACATGTATTTATTTAAATTTCAGATGAAATTTTATTTTCAACACGAAAGTGGATTTGTAATGTGCAACGTCCAAACAATAAGGTATCAAACTGCATTGAAAACATACTAAATGGTGTCTGTTTCTGTAGTGCACAAATATTTGATCAACTGGTGCTTATTTTTCACAAAATTCCTACATTTATTTTTTTCATTTTTATTTAGAAATGTGACAAGATCTATAGAGTGTAAATGCAAGTCTACTACACAGTAAGTATTTTTATGGGTCTGTTGCATTACATGGACATGTACTTTACTTCAAATGTTTCTCCTTCTAACTTTCATGTCCTATTTTATAATATTAACCAATTTAAAATTGAAATATTGCAGTTAGTTTCAAAGAAGACTACTTTAAACACTTGTGTAACTAACATCTGAAATAAATAACCTAGGTTTATGCATGAAAATTTGTAATAAGAACCACAAGACTGATTTGAGATGAAAATAGTAAATTGATCATGTAAGCAAACAGTATTCAAATAAATTGAATAAATATCAATTTTTTTTCTCAAAAAATCTATACAAATCAAAGAATGCTGGTTAAGGCCTTCCTTTGAAAAAAAATATGTTCTCATTATCAGAATTATATAAGAAAATATTTTATTGGCGGTTTAACTCTTTATATGACAAATTTTTATGTGAGTGCAAAATGTCAAACAATAATTAGGTTGTATTATTTCTTATAGTTTGTTTTTTGTAAGTAATTATATTTAATGATTGTGTTTTACAGTAAAACTGGTCGTCCATCTTTGGAAGTAGGCGTGGATCTAACGTTTCTGGAGTCAATGCGAGGAGAGGATATTCTAAAAATACTTGACACAAAGGCCAAAAAATTGTATTTTAATGGATTTGAGGTCGTCTTAATAAGAAATTTTATCGTGGATATTAAAGGAAATGGTCAAAATGGTGAGATATCAACATGCACAACGTCGTGAATTGAGATATAATACAACGTAACATTTACAATGTTTCTATTTTAAGACTATTTCAGGTTCATTATCCCTCTGCTCACTCATAAAAAATATTTCAATGATGCTTATGTACATGTTTTCCCAAAAGAAATCTTATTCATGACTCTTACAATATCAGCATAACTTGCGGGGCATATTTTTTTTACATAAATGACCTGTTAACGTGATGGTTTTATAAATGAATAATAGTAATTTATACCAGTTAGAGTTATTTTTTTAATATATGAACCTTAATATACTCACACGATTATGTTTAGATGCTTGTTTACCGTCGCCATGTCAGAACAATGGAATCTGCTCAACTACTGACGACGGAGACCTTAACTGCTCATGTCCTAGTGGATGGACAGGAACTCGATGTGAAATTGGTGTGTTAATTTCAAAATCTGAATTAAAATGTTAAAAAGAAATAAAAATATACAGTAACAGTCCTTCATTTCTTCAAAATACAAGACTTTGTATATTTTTGTATTTTTAACAGACGTCAACACCTGCTTACAATTCCCTTGCGGAAACAATGGCGCCTGTCAGGAAAAGCTTGGAGAGGATTCTTGTATCTGCAAACGAGGCTGGAACGGGCGGCAATGTGAAATAGGTAAATTAAATGATAAAAAATAACAAAATGTAGTACTTATTTAAAATAAAGAAGAGAAATGATTTTGCATTGCTGAAAAGTTTTAATGTTAAAGCAAATATATTTTAAGGAAGCTCAATTTGGAAGTACATGTATAAAACATATACCCTAACGAAAATTTGTTTTACCAATGTTAAATATATCTAACTACAGAAAATGTTTGATACTTTAAATAAGTAGAACTTTTCTGAAGCCTTGGAGTGTTAGTATTTCTTAAAGTACGTATTAATGATATAAATGTACGAAAATAATAAATAAATTTACTACATGTAATACTATTTCCTTTTATATTAAGAGAATTGCTTCCAGGAGCTGAAGAAATATTTGTTAATTATTTGTTAATTAAGAATTTTGCTAATTTTACAGACGTTGACGAGTGCGTGGACATTCCCTGTAAGAACGGCGGGACTTGTGTCAATACGGACGGCTCGTTTTACTGCACGTGTCCTGCTTCATGGGAGGGGACCTTCTGTGATATAGGTAAATATATGTATAAATATTATATATATACAATTATTTTATATTTATATTTTATATATTATATGTGTACAACTTCAAAATATTTAAATATTATTATGAAAAATTTTGATGTACATGTAATCTGTAATATAAGAATTTTATTCAAAATTGATTACTTTGTTATAAATACATTGAATAAACTATCCATCTTGTAATATCTTTAATTATATTAATTTCCAGATATCGATGATTGTAAAAGATTCCCCTGCCAACATGGCGGAACCTGCACAAATGACATCGGATTTTATAATTGTACCTGTATACCCGGATGGACAGGAAAAAACTGTGATCAAGGTGATGTAACATCTACTGGAATTAGATTTTGTTAAATAAAGAGGGAAACCATGCAAATAGCAACACTTACCCATATTTTCAGACTGTCTGTGCGAAAGTTATGCCTACAATGTGCAATATAGTATCATTAAATAAACCACTCATTTACAGTTCTGAGTTCAAGAATATAAAAATGAATCTAAACAATACCCTGGCATCAACAAATAGTTGTTCAGATATCGAAGCTTTTTCAGTGTAATATTTGATAGACAATTAAAGTTACCCACAGTTATATTTCTTTTTGTCATTTTTCATCCAACAGACACTTGACTGCTTTCCTATTTTATCAGTTTCATAAAAATGTCATTTGAAAGACACGTATATTAATTTTTGTAATGCGAGTATATTATGTATTTTTGGCTCAAGGAATGTTGAAAAGGTATGTCTTTTGTTAATTAACATTGTTTCCTTTCCAGACGTTGATGAATGCGGTCTGACCCCGTGTCGTAATGGGGGAACGTGTGTCAACACACCTGGGTCATACCTTTGTACATGTGACTCGGGATGGCTCGGTAAACACTGTGACGTTGGTAGGTTTATTTTGATATTAACAGCCTTCTGGACTTCATAGATTACATGAAAATAATAATCAGAAACAATTTGCACAAATCCTTTCCTATCATCATACGTGTATCGTATTGTATGTTACATGCAAATATATATATATATATATATATATATATATATATATATATATATATATATATATATATATATATATATATTCCAGAAAGTAGATTAGATCTCATCAATGATGAATTGTATTGCAAAATCAGTCTCTGACATGTTATCAATCTAATTTTTATACATGTATACTCTTTCACACCATTTTCATTTTTAAACTTCATATCAAGATGTAAATCTTAATGAAAATTATGATTTTTATTTTCAAATTTTCGATCTAATGCAAAATAAAATGTTTAGGAAGTTAATATGAGTATTTTCTTATTAGAGATTGATAAAATAATCTTTTAGAAAACTTACACATCTCTTTTTTATTCTTAAGACGTTGACGAATGTGTGAATTTTCCTTGTCAACGAGGTGGAATTTGTCGAAATACAAATGGCTCCTACAGTTGCGCATGTCCAGAAGGATGGAATGGTCCAAACTGCGAATATGGTAAAGAAAATGGATTCAAAACTAATTATTTGTTAAAATCGAATATTTGTAATGTGGTACATCAATGAAATTTTAATAGGTTCTATGGAATCATTTCTTTTAAACCTGTAATAAGATATGCTTGATGTATAAATGTTTCATTTTACATTAAATTTTTGGCAGTGGTTTGACATCCAATATACATACATGTATCATTACTTACCAATCAATGGACATTTCATTATTAATCCCTTTAAGATTTCTTTCATTCCATAATTTTCTTGTTGAATTTTAGATATAAATGAATGTCAGTCTAACCCGTGTATAAATGGGGGTTTCTGTGAGAATACCAACGGATTCTATCAGTGCCGCTGTGCTGAAGGATGGATGGGTCAAAACTGTCATATAGGTACTCATACTCCTTTTTTTTTAGAAAAATATATCAATTAAGCAAGTAGGAAAGGTGATTAATGTTCCTTCCAATGTTGTTTAGTACATATATCTTTTATTATAAACTCTCAAAACAATGCGAACATATTGAGAAATTTAAAGAAAGGGATTGTTATATTTCACGAAAACTTTATGAATTAAAAAATTGAAGTGGATCCGACCAAATGTTAACATAAGACTTAATCAACTTTGACGTTCAGTCATGCTACAAAACAGAGAAATTGAGAAATTAAGTACTCTGGAATTTATGTTCCTGGGCTGAACTATTGCCGAGTCGGCGTTAAACAATACACAACAATCAATCAATCCAATATCTCTTTTTATAAAGAATCTAATTGTACGAATTTTGCAGGCTGAATAAATTATATCTCTGAATTCTCTCAAATTTGAAAAAAAATATGCTATACAAGTACTAGTGTACTTACCTAACCAATATAATGACACTACTGTACAGATGTTGACGAGTGCCTCCAGTTTCCCTGTCAACACGGCGGACTGTGCCGGAATCTTAATGGGTCCTACTTCTGTGACTGTCCGGCGGGATGGATTGGCCCGCACTGTCAATTTGGTAGGTTGTTGGTTCGAATCTATTTCTGTTAATGTAGAATTTATTAACGTAGCAGAATAAAACGATAAAGCAGTAAGCAGTAAAGCAAAACTTTGTAACGACGAAGTATAATACGATAAGGTAGTACATAAAAAGTATAAAAAGAGGGATTTTGATTGGCCCATGTACTTGTAAATTTAAACTGAATATTTATTTGAGAAATTTAATATGTATAAGAGATATAAAAATTTTATATATATATATATATATAAGAGATATATATTGAATATAGTGACAATTTAATATAACAAAAGCAAACCTTTTTGACTAAAAATGAAAAAAATAGTACTTTTACATGTAAATATAACTAAAAATACCACTTATCATTGCATTAACTCTGTAGACGTCGACGAATGCTTGCGGTCTCCATGCTCAAACAAAGCTGTTTGTGTCAATGATAACGGATCCTATCGCTGTGTTTGCCCTAATGGGCTCACAGGACAAAACTGTGACTTCGGTAGGCATTCCAATTTAGTATGCTACAATTACTAGTATTTTAAAGAATTTATATTTTGTCCTATTCATTTGTTTTGATGTGATAAAAATCTATTTACAAAAAAATTGAAAAGACTTATTTCCTTTTTTACATTCTTTGCGTTTATATTATTTTATACACTTTTCAATTTTCAGATATCAATGAATGTGTCTCCTCCCCTTGCCAACACAATGGAACATGTACAAATACAGTTGGATCCTATTCTTGTGCATGTTTAACAGGGTTTGCTGGAAAACACTGTGAAAATGGTGGGTACACACAGTTCTTCATATCATTTAGGACATATTAAAGTTTTTTTACTTTAAGTTTAAAACTCTTTGATATAACCTTTCAGACTTCAACAAGCCACTTTTCCCAAATTATTTCTATTTTTAATGACATTTTACAGGTTGTGTTACCTTATTTTTTAATTGATTAACATGTAATTGTATGTTCTCTATTACTATTCAAGCTAAAAGTTCAATAATTATTTTAAGATCAATGAATTTTTCGTACATAATACACTGATATTATAAATATCGAGAAAGTTTTAAATATGCATTAATAGTAACAAAGATGCATGAACTATGGGGAAAAGCGTTTTTTCAAAATAAAAATTTAAATAATTTGAAAATCAATAAATCCTGCGATGGAAAGATGCATTGAACCATTAAAAATAGAATGACAATTGAAAACAATTTTTTTATATCAAGGTTGTCATCAAGTAATTCAAATATCTAGTTTTGTTGTCTATTACAATACAAGTTGAAAGTTCAATAATTATTTTAATTTCAGTTGAGAATAGGTAGTAATATGAATAAATCGTATTTGTATCACAGAGTTGTCCAGTTGTTTGTCTCTTACCTGTTATAACGGTGGCACGTGTCAGGAGTCCGCGGGACAAGATACCTGTAAATGTTTACCTGGCTGGACCGGAAACCAATGCCAATACGGTAATGACGTCATAATGTTATTTTACCTAAAATTCAAATAAGAGATTTTAAACATTTAAAGTGAATCAAGTTTTTTTTAAGTCAGAGGTGTGGTAGAAAATACGAGCTTGTCAATTACCTCTGTTATGTACATATATTTCGATCATAAAGCAGAAATATAAAATCAAAATCCTTATATTTTATAAAGTAAGTTAAAAAAAATGTTGCACAGTTTTTTCCGCTATTTTTAAGCCCAGAAAAGAATCAACTATTTTTTTTTAATTTTCTTTCCGTTCCCTAGACGTCAATGAATGCCAGCAAAATCCTTGCCATAATGGAGGAATATGTAACAATATTTTGGGATCATATACTTGTACATGTGCTGTTGGTTTTCAAGGAACCGACTGTGTTCAAGGTAATCTTTTCCTATCTGATAAATGCATCTGTGTTCTCTAATATTCATAGAAATGAATGGTTGAGACCATTTTACTTTAACATTAAACTGATTACAAATTTCCCTGATGTATATTTTGAAATGAATTATTTGTTGCTCATACATTTTTTTTTCAAACCTATTTTACGAAATAGCTTTTTATAAACAAAGTGGATTTGAATATAATTTTTGATTAATTGCATTTCCCAGATGTGAATGAATGCCTCCAGAACCCCTGCTCCAACAGTCTCACTTGTCAGAACATCCCTGGCAGCTATACATGTGTCTGTAACCCCGGATGGACAGGTCAAAACTGTGACATTGGTAGGTTCATTTTGTTAGCTGATGTTCATAATTTTGCCTAAAACTAATAAATGTTAGATTCCCCAGAATTTGTTTACCCTTTGTTAATTTTTTTCTGATACAGTTTACTTGTATTGTCAAGTTAAGAGGCATGCTTATTATGATTTTTTTCTTTTTCCCCAGTTAAGAAACTTAAGGTTGTTTTAACCGTTTTAGGTATAATTGCTCTGTTAAATACAGAGACCATTAGAGCATACATTTGATTACATTTCCGATATTTTACTACAATCATTGATGAAAGTTGCCTATGTAATATTTATGTGCTTTTCAAATAGTTTAAGATGCTAGTATCTGAAAGGGTGATGTTTACTTTTCATACGACACATTTTTAGCATATTAATTGGACACTCGAAAGGTTTTATATTAAAATATGTATGTCCAATGAAAAGTACCCACAAATAAAAATTTAAACATTTAAAAAATGATAATTAAGAAAAATAAAAGTGAATATTTAAGCATCCTACCTCTGATGTTTTGGGGGTTTGTGTTTGCTCTGCTCTTATTTTGTACTGTTTTATGAATTTTTGATCTTGAATACTGTTTGTCATATCCATATGTTTCATTTAAGCATGCTTCTGAACAATTTTTACCTCTTTTTTCCGAAAGATATAAATGAATGTCTATTGAATCCCTGCCAAAATCTGAGTCCCTGTACCAACTCCCCTGGTTCCTACACGTGTTCATGTTCTCCACAATGGACGGGACAGGATTGTAATATCGGTAAGGTTAAACGATCTTCATTTTTTTTGCTAAAACAGTTGTATTGTGAATATTGGTAAGGTTAAACAATACATGTAAATGTGTCCTTGCTTCATATTTGTGCCAAACAGTAGCATTGTGAAAAATCGGCAATAGCGTTATCTATTTTGTGAATGATTCTATATATTATGATAATACTATTTTAACAGATGTTAATGAATGTTTGTACCTACCTTGCCATCACGGAAGTAGATGTGACAACTTTCAAGGGGGATATGTGTGCTCTTGCAAAAATGGTTGGACAGGAACAAACTGTGATATTGGTAACAATTGTTTTTTTTTAAAATACATTTTAAAAAATCTCTCTTCACACTTATTAATAAAACATACAAGTCGACAAACGTTTCTTTTACAGATGTTAATGAATGTGCAACGTCTCCTTGCACTAATGGCGCTCAGTGTGTTAATCTGGACGGTTCCTATGTCTGTAACTGCCCAGTTGGATGGACAGGCCCGTTGTGTGATAGAGGTATGTTGATTCCTCTAGACATCAACCAAAACCTTGTAGATGTTTGATCATGATTCAAATCTGTAATATAATCAGAAACTTAAAAAGCAATCTATAAACATTTAAAAGCACTGTCAATAAAGTTTTTAAAGACATACTTTATTCCATGGGTTATAAATTTTGAATGTAAATATATTTCAAGGTGGTTTTAATTTCATGGTTATTCCTTAAACGTGGCAACCTGAAATTAAAACCACCATGATGTATTTTACTAACTTATTCAGTTCTAGACTTAGCTGAAAAATGTACTTTTTTGTTATACATAAATGCACATAAAATCATAAAATAATGTTTATGAATATTTTTTTTTGGTAGACATCAACGAATGTGACCAGAATCCTTGTCAACACGCCAGTGGGTGTGTCAATCACCTTGGTAACTACAGCTGTCAATCATACAATTCAAAGAAAATTATAAGATAATTTTCGTTTTTCCCCATTATTACATAGAAACGTTCAATGTGCAAGAATCTTATTGTCAACACGTAAAACAGTTATATGTGTTCTTTAAGTAACTGGTGTTTTTTTTTAGATATAGACGAATGTTTAGCGTCCCCTTGCCAGAATGGCGGGGTTTGTTTGAACACAGACGGATCGTATAGATGTTCCTGTAAAAGCGAGTTCACAGGTCAACACTGTGAACAAGGTGAGGTCCAGGAAAAATTTAAAAATTAAAATTAAAAAAGCAACATTGTCTTTTGCAAAATAAAGTCATGATTTTGTCATTTTTTTAGACTTAAATGAATGTCAGAACAATCCGTGTCAGAATGGGGTTTGCCTGAACACAAATGGAGGATTTTTTTTCTACGCAAACAAAGTCGCTGTGATATTGGTAATGTATTTACTTAAAAAACATGCGCATGTAGAAAGTATTTCTACAAAAATTGACAAACATCGGTGTTGATAATATTAAAGAAGGAAAAAAAGGAGTGGAAAAGAATTTAATTAGTGCATAAATTATCTATTCAAAATACGAGGGGCGTTCAATAAATAATGTCATTAGCTTGTACAACATGTGTTTGACATAAAGAAACTTTCTCGGATTTTTTTTAATGAATTTTTAACAGTTTATGTGACCACTTTTCATCACATAGTTTTATCGTGAGAATGGAAACAAGGGCTATTCGAGACACTGCATTATAAATGAATGGTAAAGAACAGTAAACTAAAGTGAAAATAAAAGCTACATTAAAGCTGTGTAAAACTTGTTAAAAACAAAGAAATATTCACTGAAATATGTGACATTTACAGCAACTGCCTGTTTTATAGACAAATTAGCAGGTGGATTTCAAAGATAAAAAATTATATAGTGGGAAATGCCAACAAAAAATAACAACTTATGTACTGGTTGCCAAATTTCAACAAATAATATTTTTTGTATGATTGCAGACAAACCAAATTTTAATAATGATATTACACTGTTTTTAAGAAACGTTTGTAATTTTGTAGTCACCCTGTATTTTGAAAAAATGAATGTACAAAAGTCTTAACAATTAATTTAAAATATCAGTAATTTTCGTAATCCACGTTTGTTTTATATTCAAACAGATATTGGAACATGAATCTATTGCTTAACATTATCAAAACAAAATTTACCATAAGATGTACTTGATAAAAACGGCGAAGGTCTGTCAAGAGCAAAGGTATGCAAGAGCACAAAACAGATTTATATGCAATTTTCTTAAATATTAGTGGTATTATTGGTAATTTGCATTAATATCTGGAAAAAAAGCAGTTTTTTGCAAAGAAACAAAGGTTTATTGTTACACATTGAATTTGTTAAAGCATTTAAAGTGTAAATAATAAACAGAAAGTTAATGTTTTTTCACATTAACAATATAATGTTGTGTTTCTATTTCCAAACTTGAATAAAACACCTTTCAGAAGGAAAAAAAAATGCATTATCTGCCATTTTTTACTAAGGGTCATCCCCAAAAATATTTTCAGATAATAAAAATCAATGTGTTTATATGATTAATAAGTAAAATCATGAAGACTAAATCATTGATAAGTTTTTCTGAGCCCCAATGACATTTTTATTACATTTTGTGTTAAATACAACTTTATTTAATTTACAATTTATTTATGTTTTGCTTTTGCTATTTACAGATGTTAATGAGTGTTTGACAACACCTTGTGTGCACGGTTCATGCAATAATAACATTGGGTCATACACGTGTCAGTGCAACTCAGGGTGGACGGGATCTAATTGTGATATCGGTAATGTCACGTGTTATGCTTATACCCAATATTTGACAATTTATCTTAGAAAAGGTTATGCCTAAATAATGAAATTTAATTGTACTTTTGAATTGTAGATATAAATGAATGTAACAATTTTCCTTGTGTCAACGGTACATGTACTAACACCCAGGGGTCGTATCAGTGTAATTGTCACAGTGGTTGGAGGGGAATCAACTGTGATATAAGTATGTATTGTCCTATGCATAACAAATATATATATATATATGTATATTTTTATTGTAGTCATATGTATAACAAAAATATATATTTTATATTTATATTTGTTTAGTCATTTGCAAAATATATTTGTGTATTCAATTTTATCTATTTAAATATATACAAAATATATGTGAATATTTATATATATTTAATCAATTTAGCCATTTGCAAAACATAATATATCAGTATTTTTTATTCATTTAATATTTTTAAAAGAAATGATTTCTCTTAATATGTTGAAATAATGATGAGCACTTATGTTGTTCCATTCTTAAGAAATTCTTAAGAAGAATTTTTACAAATTCTTACAAAAGAAATATTGAAAGACTAAATCGGTGTCATTTTTCCTAACTGATTTGACGACGAAATGCATGTTCTAAGTGTCTCCAATTAATTGATGTTTTATGGCTTTCGATATACGTTATGAATAAGATTTTTCTAATTCTAATGACGTCATTATAACCATTTGCCTATACTCCCTAGCGTTGGATCTAACTATTACTGTACTTTGCAGCACAATTGATTGGCCAATTGTGATTTATGAAAAAAAAAATTATCAAAACATATTTTTATTTAAGAACAATACAACCGAAGGTTTTTAAATCTAAGTTCACTTTTAAATCATTTAAGACATTCCCCCATTTTAAACTAAATACTGATTAATTTGTTAATGAAAATAAGAAATATTTTAATTTTCACAAATCTTCCACTGTCTTTGGAGAAAGAAATAAAAATATTAATGTCGATTTACTTTCAAAAATGAGTTTAAGAGATAACACATGAAGATAAATTAAATCCTTATGCATGTGGTATTTTACTTTTCTATGATTTCAGATATAAACGAGTGTACGTCTGGACCATGTCAGAATGGTGGATTCTGTCAGGATTTACCTGGCTCCTACATCTGTAATTGTCCAACAGAGTGGACGGGACAATACTGTCATCTCGGTATGTACACTGTGAATTATGTTTCATTTCCGAGCAAAGACTTAGTTCTCAATGTGACTAGATTTTTTATCAGCATTACCATGAACATTTCACTTGGGAAATGCATGTACCTTAATAGACAGGACAGCTTTGTATCATTCAACTTTAAAGAGAATCGATTTTTATTTGGAAAGGGAATGCTGAAAATGAATTTGAGATAAATATACAAGTATTGCAATATATGTCCTATTATCACAATGCTTTTCTGTGGTAGATTTAACTTTTAGTGTATATCTTTCCTACTTTGATAACTGCTATTTTGAACCTACCGTCAGTCAAATGGAAGCTGCAATTTCATATCTCAATTGAACATCTTTTGTTGTTGATAGATGTGGATGAGTGTCAGTATAGTCCTTGTCAACATAGCTCTTCTTGTTTGAACATTCCTGGAAGTTACAGATGTGATTGTACTCAGGGTAGGACGGGTCAAAACTGTGAAAGTGGTACGTTTTTATTTTTCAGAATCTTCAAAATTTGTATTCATAAAGTGATTGTCATCTAAAATATTCTTTTAAATGTTAACTGTAAGAATTATTGTACTAGTTAAAAATAATATCTTTCTCAAGAGAAAAATCTTATCTAATTGTATTCTTTATCAAAATAAATATCTTATTACATGCATAATTTAGCATACTAGTACTAACCAAGTTCCTGATTGATTTTTATGCAAAGCAAAGAAGGTTATAAGTCAACAAAATCTGGACAATATTTTCTAATTCAAAAAATAAAGGATTTTATTTTATACTTTTAAATTGAATATAAACTTACACAATAAGAAACAGACTTGTTTTGATATACACTTCAACTGTGATTGCAGACGTGAATGAGTGTGAACAGTTTGTTTGTCAAAATGGAGGATCCTGTTCCAACATAAATGGTTCCTACGCGTGTCAGTGTACCGCTGGGTGGACGGGATCGCGTTGTGAACAAGGTAAAGAGGCTGACTGCAAGTGACGTCACAATAAAAACAAAAGAAATAATAACTGTGACAAAAACTGTACCCTAACTTACCTTTGAAACTTTTACCATCCCGCTGTTCCAATAAAAAATCCCATATCGAGTTTAAGAGCTAAAAATCTAAATTGTATTTAAGAAAATCAATGTTTGGTGCAATCTGTAAATCATACTGTTGTCTACTTTTGTTAATTCAGATAGAAACGAATGTGCTGAAGGATTATGTCTGAATAATGCTCAATGTTTCAACACCGATGGATCTTACGTCTGTATTTGTCCAAAGGAATGGCAAGGCCGGAATTGTGAAACTGGTAAAAAAAAATCCGTATATAAAGATAAATGAAACTAAATCATAAGGGAAAAAATCATTAAAAGTAAATATTATGTCTTTGTTAGATGTAGACGAATGTTTGACTTCACCTTGTCTAAATGGTGCCACCTGCCAAAATCTTCCCGGGTCATATGTCTGTCAGTGTGCACAAGGATGGACGGGACAGCTCTGTCAACAGGGTAAATCAGACAATTAGAATCTTATTATTTTCATTTTTTCATGTATTGCTTTAATTTAATTTATGTAAATTTTCAATTATATAATTAATGTAACTTTGCAGATGTTGATGACTGTTTAAGTTCACCGTGCCAGAATGGTGGTCTATGTCAAAATTCACAAGGAACTTATTCTTGCACATGTAGAAATGGTTGGACTGGTATTCATTGTGAAACTGGTATAAAAATGCTTACTTGGAATTTTAACAAAAATGGGCAAAGAATTTTAATATAGAAATTCATCAAATATCAAAGAATATTGTAATAATGATTTAGATAAAGAATTACAAACAGAAAATTCAATGTGAAAATTCATTGCTTTTTCAGATATCAATGAATGTCTCGTGAACAACATATGCCAAAATGGAGGCTTTTGTATCAATTTAGCCGGCTCATATCAATGCCAGTGTCCCTCGCAATGGACTGGAAATAATTGTGAAATTGATGTCAATGAGTGTTCCAATAGTCCCTGTCTACACGGATCAGTATGTACCAATACTAACGGATCATATTCCTGTGACTGTCGACCAGGTTGGGCTGGAATACATTGTGAATCGGATATCAATGAATGTAACATTCCAGACCAATGTCAAAATGGTGGAACGTGTTTTAATACTGAAGGCTCTTTTACCTGCAAATGTGTTCAAGGGTGGATTGGTGAAAGATGTCAGAATGATGTCGAAGAATGTCTTTCTCGTCCATGTATTCATGGTGGGACCTGCATTAATACTGCAGGGTCTTATCAGTGTCAATGTCTACCAGGGTGGACAGGGTCTAATTGTGAACAAGATGTAAACGAATGTGTGAGTCAGTCAACTTGCTATAATGGCGGACTTTGCACCAATACCCAGGGTTCCTTTTTCTGTACCTGTACTGCTGGTTGGACCGGAAATGACTGCAGTCTGAATATTAATGAATGCTTACTGAATCCTTGCCTGCACAATTCGACATGTGTGGACGTGGATGGTTACTATAAATGTCAGTGTACTAATGGATACGCTGGGTATAATTGTGAATTGGACAGGAATGAATGTGACAATAATCCTTGTCTTCATCAGTCCACCTGTATTAACCTGATGGGATCCTACATGTGTATTTGTCAAGCTGGATGGACTGGGCAAAATTGTCAACTGGGTAATGATCATTACCTTTTTTTCTATAAAATGGTTGAGTGGTTGATAGAATATTTTATCTTCGAATGTCAAAGAAAAGTTGCAAATATCAGTTGTCCTGCAAATCAATGAAATGTAACAAAGGTATTGCAAATCATAAAAATATAAGAATAGTAGACAAATGATTTTGTAGGACCAGCTAGCATATTCCTGTAGTTGCTCTTATAAAGACTGATAGTTTCAGAAGAAAATCTTGCATCTCTACTTCGATTAAACGGGTATGGGCTATGGATTAAAAGTGTGATAATATATGACAATGCCTTTTTCCCTTACAGACAGAGACGAGTGCAGTGGTAACCCTTGTCAGAATGGAGGGACTTGTATCAATAGTAATGGATCGTATCAGTGCAGCTGTGCTCCAGGCTGGACGGGAATTAACTGTACTAAAGGTATATATGCCTCCATAAAAAATTATATATATCTTGAATGTTTATTTGAATCTGTCGATCACTGCAATACAGATTTTAGTCCATACATTTTCAATAATTAGTACAAATAGAAAAAAAGAGTCTCATTTCTTCCAGATGTAGATGAGTGTCAAGCAAACCCTTGTCGAAATGGAGGGACTTGCCTGAATACGTATGGGTCGTATATGTGTTCGTGTTCTTTAGGATGGACTGGCACCAACTGTGAAAATCGTAATCAACATTAAACTTCTTTTTCATCAGACACTTTAACAATCCTCCATAAATTGTTGAGAAAAGGCATTAAATGTCACAAACATAGTAATAAGCAATACAAAAGCGATGAATCAATTTTAATACCAACTTTGTTCTATCCATTTTATTAACAACACTATTTAAAGAGATTTCTCGACCGTCTCTTTATTTTTGTTTTGATAGAATTCCTTGTTTGTCTGCCTGATACTTGTTTGAATGTCAAGCAAACTGTCCTTGTCAGAAATGTGAAAGAGGTAATATAACTTCATAAGGCATAACTTACTTTTCAGAGAACTTTTTTAGTTCAGATATATGTTTCGAAGAATGAAACTATTTTCTATATGTGTTGCGTGTTCTTTAGGATGAGACGAAGGCAGCTTTTCCAAAACTGTGAAAATCGTTGTAATCAACATTAAACTTTTCACATTTTTCATCAGACAAACTTTACAAAATATCCTCAAGTTTGTTCATAAAGTCCTTTTGTAAGAAAAATTAATGGTGTTCTTTAAAAATCTTCTTCTCAAGAACCACTGGGCCAGGAAAGATGAAACTCAGGTGGAATCATCCTCAGGTAGTGAAGTTTCAAGTTTATTCAAATCATGACACCCGGGGGTATGGTTGGGCCAAAATGGCCGATCAAAGTTTTACATAGGAATATATATGAAAAATCTTTAAAAATTTTCTTTCAAGAACCAAGAAAGATGAAACCCAGGTCTCGTCCTCGTCTCTTTGTTCTTCAAAGTTTTTGTAATATATAAGAGAAATCTTTAAAAATCTTCTCAAGAACCATTGAGACAGGAAAGATGAAACTAATGTGAAATTATTCTCAGGTAGTGTAGATTCAACTTTGTTTGAATGGCAGGAAACATGCTATGGATCATCCTCAGGTAGTGTAGATTCAAGTCTCTTCAAATCATGACCCCTGGGGGTAGGGTGGGGCCAAAATGGCCAATCAAAGTATTGCATAGGAGTATATATGAAAAATCTTTAAAAATCTTCTTCTCAAGAACCAGAAATGTGAAAGAGGTAATATTACTTTGTAAAGCATCACTCACTTTACAAAGGAATATATAGAAAAATCTTTAAAAATTTTCTCAAGAACCATTTAAAGATACCAAAATTTCACATAGGAATATATAGGGAAACCTTTTAAAATCTTCTTCTCAAGTACTTCAAAGCCATAATTAGTAATATTTATATGGAATCATCCTCAGGTAATGTAGATTCTAATTTGTTCAAATCTTGATCCTCTGGGGGGTTAAAATTCAAGGCCCCTCCCCCCCCTACCTCAGTAAATATTAATTTCTTCATGGAATTAAGAGGGGTAGTCTTTTGATTTTTTTGTTTGACAACTCTTTTTCTATAACATAGACATCAACGAATGTTTAGAGCCTCTGGCTTGTGTTCACGGCACATGCACCAATGGTTATGGTTCGTTTGTTTGCCAGTGTGAACAAGGATGGTCTGATGTTAACTGTGACATTGGTTAGTGTCAGAATAAAGGGAAAATAATCAGCATTGTAAAGTACCTGTAGCTATATACATGTATTTTGCAGTTTTACAAAACATTTCTTTATACTTTGTGCTGACTATTTAACTAGAAGGATGCTATTATTTCTAATAAGCTCTAGTAATTTTCAACAATATTCTTGCTACATCAATACTGTGATTCACTTCTTTTTATGAGGGTTTCATTTTCATTTCAAAAGTGAATATTTGTCTACAACAAAGTGTATTTTTTTCTAATTTTACCACTTAACAAACCTCATGTCCCCTTGAACTCATATTCTTTCATCAAATCACGATGATTTGCTCATTTTCCTCCACAAGAATGTGCTTATAAGTATGTCTTTATTCCATCTTTAACTGTATAGTTTTCTTTTTATAGATGTTAATGAATGCTTGTCAACGCCTTGTAAAAATGGAGGAACGTGCCTAAATATGGCGGGTTCCTATTCATGTGCTTGTGCTCAGGGATGGAGAGGTCGAAATTGTACAGAAGGTACACAATCTCCTAGATTTAATTTAAAGAGCTTAACCTGAAATTATGGTCAGTGCATTCTTGAATTGGCGTATTCTTTGAATAAATGTCCGCCCTTCTTTTGAAACAGATATAGATGAATGTGCCACATCGCCTTGTGTCCATGGCTCCTGCAGCAATCTACCTGGAACCTTTCAATGTATATGTGATAAAGGATGGACGGGACGTTATTGTGACCAAGGTACAGTAGATTTATCTACAATTGTACAATATCCATTAAATTAACACCTACTTTCTCAAAAGTTTACAATCCTCATTATATCCCTTTTTGGCATATTGTCTTAAATTAGGTGTTTTGGTGACGTATTGTTCATGTTGTTGTTTTTGCAACAACAAAAAATACTTGTGTTCTTTTTCACTACTTTTTGTGTCTTTTTTAAAACTAAAAATATATGATTTTTTTTCTAGACGTGAATGAATGTCTGGTGAACCCGTGTCAGAACGGAGGGACTTGCCTGGATAACTCCGGATCACACAGCTGTGTCTGTTTGCCGGGATGGACGGGACAAAACTGTACTCAAGGTATGATGGTTAGGGGGAAACAAATTTGTTAAAAAGCTTTTACAGAAATCCAAAAGTTGATTCTTGTTTGGTTGTTTTTTGAATGTTCAGTCTTGTGTAGGTTGTAATTTTTCACAAACCCAGTTATAATTTCAAACAGTTAGGAACCATAATAAAGATAATAATTGCTGCAGTAGCTGTTGTGAAATTGTGGATCATACGCGAAAACCCAAATTTATGTGTTACAACGTTTGATCTTTACAAGAGGGAACATACTGTGATTGCAAATATGACCACTGGGTTTATAAGATCAAATTATATAAAACAGAATTTTATCAAAAAAATTAAAAATAACAACTTGACTCATATTTATTAAAGTAAAATGTATAAGTTTAACCGAATACATTTGAATTTTTTATTTAAAGATTAACAAAAAATTGATTTCATGTGAAAAAAAAACTTGAATAGAGTAATGATGATGGTTTCAGAAGGTAAATTTTGATTTTCCTAGAAAGTTTACAGTTCGTAAATAATTTTGAAATTTACTATTCCTATTATTTACTGCCAAATTAAGTCAGGGAATAAGAACAAATCCAATGGCCCAGTATTTTTTGTTTGTTTCATCTGTCCTTAAAAGGAAAATTTTACTCCACGATTAACTAGCATTAATAGAAATATCAGTTAGTATATTTTTACTCGTATTTATGAGACGGAGTTTTCATTTGCGCATTTTAACTCCACATATTGCATCAAATGACTATATCGACCAAGATATGATACCTTAACATTAATTGGATACGATATTTGCATAAGCAATCGCAAAACAAACCTGCGTGACCTGCCGTCATAAGAATAAGTGCTTTAGAGTCAAATTATGTCCCCTTTAAACCCTTGCACAGTGTTAGATCTAGAATCATCAAAACTTGTCAGTTGATGTATCTTCTGACATGAGGTATCATGACTCCGAAGTAGGTGACGATGATTTGTCAGAACTGTCGCAAATTTCATGTCTAAGACATACATGTAGGTGGAATTTTATCTTTGACCTTATCTGGAGTGCACATTATCATTAATCAATGCAGCAAGAATGATATTCCACCAAATTTACAACAACATTGTTAAAAGGTCGTAAAATTAATATATGTCTGATCCCATACTGAAGATGTCTGAATTTTGCACCCTGAAATTTATCAGTGAAACCATTTTTTGGTCTCACTGCAATATTTCAATGCAATAATTTCAAGTTACTAAAGAAAGAGAATGATTTATAACATGCCGTATTGTTTCTTGGAATATAGACGTTAATGAGTGTCTGGCATCGCCGTGTGTACATGGTTCCTGCAGCAACTTGCCTGGATCCTTCCTGTGTAGCTGTGAGGCTGGGTGGACGGGAACCTTGTGTGATAGGGGTATTTTATATTATAATAGTATACGTATTTCTTATAAAGCTTTCCTTATTCTATTTATGAACATTTACATCGTGTTTTTATCTTGTAATGAAGGATTTTCATTCTCTTTTCTTTTTAAGTTTTTTTTTTTTAAATCATTGTCGATTAATTACATTCTTATTAAGTACTTATATTTTTAATTGATTTTTATTTTCAGATATCAATGAGTGTGCGAATTCCCCTTGTGTCAATGGTGTTTGCAGGAATTCTGTTGGATCTTTTCAATGTCAATGTAACACGGGCTGGACTGGTGTACTGTGTGATCAAGGTAGTTCATAAGTCTTGTGCCGCCGAAACATGGCTGAAAAAATTGCCGAGTTAAACAATATACAATCAATTATAAGTCTTGTAGAAATCCACAAGCGCATAATAACTGTATATTTCTTTTTCAAATTATTAAGTCTTTATACTATATAACAAAAAGGTACGGAGAAAAGCTTTAAATATTTCATGTAATTTCTGAATTTTTTTTTTATTTACTAGTAGATGCTGTCAAAATAGTTCTAATGAAGGATTGATTTGATATTTTTTTCGTATTTTCTTTCAATAGATATAAATGAATGTTTAACTACTTCTTGTGTACATGGTACCTGTACCAATATACAAGGGTCATTCCAGTGCTCTTGTGAGCCAGGATGGACAGGCAGTTTGTGTGACCAAGGTATTTTCAATTTCATTTTGATCATTTATTTATAATAACCGAACATTGATATCTAATTTGAATTCTTTAAGGGGATATAATACAGATAAATTAATAAAAAACAATTTTCTTGGTTCGTGATTTTTAATGTTATCATATGCATATAATATATACTACTACTAGTAGTATTACCTGAATAATCTGGACACTATTAGTTCAATAAAAATTAGCATTATTAAAAATTATTCCGTTTTAAACAAAATTTTGGAATAGAAATTAATGAATAAACTTTTAAAAGTTTCTTCGTTATAGACTTGGCTATTGATAACTGGGAGATGACAGTGTTTTCAAGGGAAAAGTAAAAAAGAAGCATTAAAATGATCCTTTCTTATTCATGGGCATGTTTCTATTTCCCTAGATATAAATGAATGTTTGAGTACTCCGTGTGTACATGGTACCTGTACGAATACCCAGGGATCATTCCGCTGCTCCTGTGAACCAGGCTGGACAGGGTCTCTGTGTGACCAAGGTACACTCCCTTATTCCTTCATTTTTCTTATATTAATCAATGCAGCTTAAAATGCTTTTACAATTTTTTTGTTTTTTTTCACAATTATTGATATATACTTGTATTTTTTATATTCTTTTTTTCCAAAAAGTTTGATGATGGCAAAAATCATGTATAGTTTTTACTCAGAAGACCAGCAATGCATATAGTTGTATTTTTCTTTCTTTTGCAGATATAAATGAATGTTTAAACAATCCATGTGTCCATGGCACGTGTACAAATACGCTTGGATCATTTCAATGTTCTTGTGAACAAGGGTGGACGGGATCGTTATGCGATCAAGGTTAAATAATTAATATTCAAGACAATTCTCCCAAAAATGATAAAACAAAATACTTTTAAAGTGATTACCTCAAGAACAAGATTATTGAATTCTTAATATTCGACCTTTTTTTTCAAACAAGACTACATACTTTTTGATAATTGTCTATAGCAGAATGGTGGGAAATGTAGATTTATCTAAAAGCTTTTTTATCCGTTTGATTATTTATTTTTATATACAATATTTGGATTTGTTGCAGATATCAATGAATGTTTACAATCACCATGTAAACATGGACAGTGCAGCAACACTCTAGGATCGTTTACCTGTACTTGTGATGCAGGATGGACAGGAAATCTTTGTGACACAGGTAATTATTCAATTAAATATGTTAACAAAAAAAATTATTTTTCGTTATTCCAATTTTTTTTTATTTTCTTCAAGTCTGAAGAAAATTTAAGATCCACAATTCTGATTTGAAACTTTAAAATTCACTTTACATGACAATGTTTCAAAGATATCAATGAGTGCCTATCTACACCTTGTAATAATGGCGTCTGTACGAACACTGACGGATCCTTCCGCTGTACGTGTAATCAAGGATGGCAAGGGACTCTATGTGATCAAGGTATCCGTTTGGTACAATTTTAAAACAACAGTTAAATGCAACCGCATCTATTTTAAATCTAATTTTAAAGAACTGTTATGAACATAACTTACAATAGACTGTTTTTATATAGGCCTATATTCTTCATGTAAAAGTTGGATATATATCAATTCTCAACTATAACTTTAAATACTTATTTTAGACATTGATCACTGTTCCAATAACCCTTGTGTCCATGGTACCTGTACGGACACAGGTTCTTCATATAGATGTACGTGTGACCCTGGCTGGACGGGGCAAAACTGTGATCAAGGTAACACAACTTATTTTTTAAGAAGCATTGCCATTAAGGAGTTCTTATTTTTGATTATTCTACAATATGAAAGCATTTGTGACATTCAGTGCACATTATTCTACCTGAATAATGTGAATGTTTGTCGTATTTATAAAATTTGGATAAAGTATATTTCTCATAAAGGTACATTTATTAAAACATCCTGATTATTGCCATAAGATAAACTTGAGTTAATGTTATTTTTTCAGATATAAATGAATGTGTTACGTTAGCACCATGTGCTAATGGAGGAACATGTACCAATGTTGACGGAACATTCTTATGCACGTGTCCAATAGGATGGACGGGTTTAACTTGTAGGACAGGTAATGGATTCTAGATATCCTCCTTCAAATATGTATCAGTTGATTTATTCACGTTTATACATGTACTGTGTTTCATGGTTTTGACATTGATATCTTTAAACACATTATAGCTAGATATATTAAAATGAATTTCTATATTACCAGAAATGATCTTTTGGAATAAGCTGGAAAAAAATAAAAATAAAATTTTTTTAATAAGGATGTATGCACAATAATTATTATAGTAATATAATCATATTGTTTTTGCCTTACAGACGTTGATGAGTGTTTTAATTCTCCTTGTCTCCATGGCAACTGCTCCAATGTTTTTGGCTCTTATTCGTGTTTGTGTGAGGCAGGGTGGACAGGGACCAATTGTAGTCAAGGTTTGTACAAAGCTTTAATAAATGAATTTATATTTAAGGGGGCCGACTATAGTTTCCATTGCGCAATATTTCGCGCATCATAGTAAAATGAAGCGTATTTACTGTTTTAATGCAACTTTTTTCGCTTAATTATTAGAATTATACAAAATTAAGAAATTATAGGTATAAAAATGTAATTACAATTTGATATAACGGATTTTTTAACCAATTTTGCAATTGATAGGTAGGTTGACGTCGTTGCAGTGTGTTTTTGACGTTATGATAATCTGTAGCTCTTAAAGAAAGGGGTAGTAAAAATATTATTAAAGAAAAAGTAATAAACATACACTCTTGAAATTTAAAACATAGAAATTTGAGAATATCTCCAATATTTTTATTATGTTTTCATGTGAATCCATTGTGTACGTCATATTTTGTAATACTCTATAAAAATAGTAAAATTTGCTAATTTTTGGCATTTTGAGATGCCCCCTCTGGTAACAAGACGGTAGAATTTTGTGTTTCCTACATATATTGTATAATATAGTATTACTCATTAAATATTATAGTTTGAACAAAATGTCTATTGTAGTATTTGCATAATTTGCTTTAAAGTGCTTAAAATTGGCATTTTCCTATATAATCCTATAGTAAATGTACCTGTTTTTTGAGACGGTCCCTCAAAAATACCTGGACGGTAGATTTCCCCCAAACTTTGCATGTACACTCAAGTTAATGTAAGTTATATAAGGTATAAAAATGAAGAGTTTCGCTATTGTAGTTTTCACACAATAAAACTATAGTCGGCCCCCTTAAGAGTGCTCTGAAAAATTAGAATAAAAAGAGTGCAATTTTTATCTAAATGATTCATTTTTGTTGCTTGGTTTAAGCTTTTGCAGTTTTATTGAAATGAAATTGAGTTGTTTCTATTGATAAAATATTTTAACAGAATTCAACTAAGATATCTTAACTTTACATTAAGTAGCACGTATAAATATGCTTTATAAACTTTGAAATAGAATATTTAGATTTTAATTTCTGTAGTATTTTAAACTTTTTAAAAATGGGTACCTTTCATTATTTATAATTAAAACATCTATCTTTGAAATTGTTACAGATGTGGACGAATGCCTCCAGTTACCATGTGTCAACAATGGAACTTGTGTCAATACTGCTGGATCTTTCTACTGTCAATGCCCTGTTGGTCTGTCAGGGGAGAAATGTGACTTAGTTGGTAGGTGTAATAGTGTGTTTTGTGTGTTTTTATGTTAAATTTGTGATCAAGTAACGTTTAATTTACCTTTATCTTATTTCTATTTTAGATATTACAGATATCACTCTGACATTTGATATCGTCAATTTCCCGTGGGTGGACGATTTGGCAGATAATTCTTCAATAATTTACCAAAGCTACGCTGGAAGGTTCTGTCGAGATGTAAGTTAAAATTGTAACAATAGCTCTAAGATTCTGCCAAGAAAAAATAAGAATATTATGACGATATCAACAACTTTGATTTCATTTACAGGTAGATATCATATTCGCTTTCCGAGCTGCCGACTACCCTGGTTATTTGTATTGTAAAGTATTGTCCTTTGGGTAAGCAAATGCCATTTACTTCACCTTTAATTAATGTAAAAAAAAGAACTTGATAGAATTCATTTTAATTAACAGATATCATCTCCTATGCTTATAAAATATAACATCTTCGTTAGTCAAGGGTTTTCGGTCCGCACCGCTCCCCATGAACCGAAAACCCTTGGCTAGTGAAGATGAAAATATAAGAGAAGAAAAAGTAGCAGCTGCTATTTTTGGTATGTGGCATTTATGTTTCATGTTGTCAATTTACGTTTAAGGAAAGACCCCCTGAACATATCGGTAGTCCTTACACTGGGAGGGCATGACTACACCTCTGGATTCGATGTACAACTGAGAGACGCAATATTTGAAACGACTCGGGAATACAGATATCTCAACTATATTGTCCATTTAATCGGAGATATACTCATCGTATCAGGCAGAATAGCTCACGGTAAAACTTCATTGTATAATTAATGTAGTTTCTTATTTATTTCCTTATTAGAATGTCTTAACTTTATAATTTTCGTTTTAATTAAAAATATATCTTTTTGAAAAATCAGAGAATTATACTAACAAAGTAATGAGTCAAATATTCCCATATTCAACGTTTTTTTATTTAAAACTTTGTTGGTTATTTTTTAAAAGACACATATATCAAGAATTTGGGTAAAGATTTTTACGTGATAACTAGTTTGTGGAGGTTGTCATTTTCCTTGACAATGAAATAATGAATTAAGAAAAATGAAAAATGTAGAATTTTATTTTAAATCTAGAAAAAATAAAGCATTGTCACGAATATTGCATATTATTCAACAAATTCAACGTTTATTTAAGTATTACTGGCATCACATATATTAAAATGTTTAAATAAGATAAATGTACTTGAAGTTCTGTCTATTGTCATAGTTTTTGACTTATAATCCTATGCCAGCAGAAAAACGTGGCGAAACTTTACTCTCTTTCTCGATTTTATTTTAACCATAGTCGCATGTAGTCTCTTAAAATTAGAATTGTTTTATTCCAATAAATATGGCATTAATAGTATCCAATGTACAAGGTATTCAGTGCAAAATTTGCAATCATCGTATGACAAAAATATATGCTTTCGCTTTAAATTCAATTCATGACTCTTTCGTTCAATAGACTTCTAATAAATACGCTTTGTAGGAAAATATTTCAAGTTATCCAATTAATTAAAAGAATTTATTATTTTTCAGATCTTAAGATATGAATATTTGTAAAAACATATATCATATTCATGAAATACAAAGTTGAAACTTGCATACATAATTTACATCGCAGTCATGACGATTGTTATAATGAAAACTGGTTGCCAATGGCTTTGCATTGATTTGTTGCAGATTCATGGCTTACGAATATGACGATGTATATATACGATGACTTCCGATACATACCCGAATACTCGAATAGTAATTCGACTGAATTTAAGAATTTTGAAAGCTCATTTTGCAATGATGTAAGTATGCGTGTCAGTCGATATTTATGATTTTTAGAGAGATAATTTCATATGAAATTTACCATAAAAGGCATCCTAAATAAAAGTTGATATGGTTTACTGTTAATATTCATGTGTCAATTTAATAGCTTATTACCTTAATGATTCATTTAAGACTTATAATTCAATATTAACAAGGAAGTAACTATCTCTTCTATTCAATTTTGATAAATTAATGATCGCATAAATTATTTTATTGAATAATTTTATTTGCAGATTGACTCATTCTTTCAAAACAGTAATTTATCGTCTCGATATTATCGCTGTTTCTTTGATCATATTGGGTAAGCTTCCTCATACTTAAAAATTTCAAACAATAGATTTTTTTACTTGTAGTCAATTACTTATGTCCAGTTACTTAAAAGAACATGTGTACTGAGTATTTGCTATCCATCTTTTCTTTTCTCCATAAACTGTGAAGATAATTTTTCTTCAGATATAGTAATTTTTATTTCATCAAAAATATACAAGCTCATTTTTTTATACCAGATTTCGCTATACTAAATTCATAATTTCTCATGTTTTAGGTCTGTTGCACCACATACTTTGACCTTCATAATGGTCTTCAATGGAACTGACACAGTGTCACGTGACATGACAACGAACGTGATCAGTGTTGGAGCTCCACATTACAACGTGGAGAATTTGGATCTGATGTTCATCGGTTCTCAGTTTGTCTATCTGCATCGTGGATACAACAACATCGCCATTAATATAACCGATTTTACAACAACCTCTGCTCCCATAACAACGGAAAGTCCTCGTGAGTATTCTTTGCTCCTTCCTTTAAAAGAACGGTAAAAACCGTTTACCGTTGTCTTTGAGAAATATTCTTTATATAGGTGTATGCTCTAAGATGTACTATTGAAAATATTGTTGTAATATAAAACTTATGAAAAAGAACTGATAAACAATTTCTTTTCTTAATCTAATTACCTTTCTATTCATTCAATTGCAGTGAAAACATTGATAAACATCACCTTTGTGTTAAAAAATCTGACATACACGCAACAGTTAGCAAACTCAGAATCCCAGGAGTTCAAGGCATTGGCATTCCCCTTCTGCCAATATGTGAGTAGAATTGCCCAATGCATTGCTTTTTTCGAATTTGGAATATTTGTAGATATACTGATATCTTAATGTTCTGTTTCATTTCATGACGGTCTTTTTGTTTTGCAGTTAACCGATCTTTATTCCACTCGAGACCGATTTAAGAATATTTACGAACTGTGTCAAGTAATGGCTTTTATGTAAGTATTGAACAACCAACGCAACCAAAAAACCTCCCGGTGTAGAACTCATTCATTCATTGCTATTTCTATTGATATTTAGTGTATATTTGACAAGCGTAATCATTGAAACCAAAAAATATGCTAGGAATTATGTATGTTTTGCCTTTTTTGCAGCCAAGAAAATGGAAGAGATAAGATCAATTTTATCCTGCAGTTTAAGGGTGCACAAGATCCTACTCTTCAGGAATTTATATACGGGATTTTGATAGAGAATGCCCCCAGAGCTATAGTAAATGGGGAGATCTCAATAATTGTTGGTCCACTGGCTGTGTTTGATGACTCCCTGGCCATTAATCAGGCCACAGTTACTTACTCACTGCCACCAGGTATGTATAAACAATAGGTAATAATTAACTGTCAAAATTTGATTGGGATTTGAATATATTTAAGTAGATTTTTCATGGAAAATCATTTTCTGTTTTTAAAAAAAAATTTATCCGTGGTACAGTGAAATAAAGGAGATTCTTTTTGCAATATTGTTTAATTGCAAATCATGGCAAGAAAAAAATTCACAATACCATACAAAATGAAATGATTGCGTTATAGTTTTTCACTAAAACACAGGAACAAACAGTATGATGATTGAAACACCAAGGTTACAATTAGATCATCATTTCATTGTAAAACCAAAAACTTTCCAAACTATTTGTTTTTTTTATTTACTTCTATTAAAGATGTAGTAAACTATATCTCTAGCAACATTGCACGTACCAAGAAAATATTTTTGGAAAAAAATTATGAACTTTGGAGTCTTGCCTATTTACCTACTTTGATTTAATATTAGATCAATAAATTAAATTAAATGACACTACAGGCCAATTTGAATATGATTGACTACCTAAATTAAGGGTAACTTCAAAAATAGGTAACTTAAATGATATCCTCTTTGGTAAAGTTAGAGAATTTGTAAGATTTTTCCACAATGACAAAAATTTATGCAAAATTTTGTATAGATTTACATAGAAAACGATACAGAATCGTTTATCTAAGCATCAAGGAAAACTTTAAATTTCTTTATATTTTAGAAATTGATTGTTTATACCATTTACATTAAAAATCATTCAAAAAAAATTATATCATTTCATGCATCGAAATTTTGTTTGTGTTATGTGCCCTTAAAGTAAGATAATGAATAACCTGTTCAGACCTTACAAATAATTAAAGGTCCAAACATGACCTCCCCGTGCCCGAAAACTGTCACAAGTTCTATAAATGCTCCTTTGGAATCTCTTACCTGTTTGAATGTCCGGGAAACACCGTATTTTTTCCGGACAGAAACCAATGTGATAACAACGATGGGTCAATAAAATGTTAACCGGGAAAAGAAGATTTTTTTGTTTGAGAAATCCAGATTCATAGACTCATTTTTGTGTATTTATTTAACCTTTCATGTTTATTTCATCGCATCATGATTTTTTGTCATAATATGAAATTAAATCAATTATTGTTATTATTTGCAATTGTGCTTTTTAGTTATTGTTATTAGTGATATATCAATATTTGCACTAAAATGAGTGCAGTTTGTGTTCGACTCAAATCTTCTTTGTATTCACGTACAAATAAAAGTTCATGTTCATTTTTTACATATTGAATACAAATAAACATGGATATATATTAAAAGTAATTTTTATTTGTGGGTTTTTTTTTTATTTCTACTGTACGAATAATGTGGTGTCGGTTTTAAGTTTAAACTATATAATGACGACATTTATACAAGGGTTGTCCCGTAAAATCGTGGACAAGTTGTCTAGTGTAAAAAATAAACTTCACTGCGTTCTGAAATTTTCACTATTATTTAGTACATATTTTAGTAATATACACAGCAAATTTCAGATAAATATATGCATAAATAAACAAATTATGTGATTTTATGACATGTATTGTATCGCCTTACGGCGCATGGATTATATCGTCAAAGTGTTTAAAACAGCGTCACCATTTATCTTTGCTGAAAATGAAGTTGGATGAGTCCGACTTAAATTTAGGAATTTCATTGATACACATTCTTTAGTCTCCATAAACAGTCGATGAACCAACTGGCACCCTTATGCGATCTTCTGAAGATTTAACAGTAAGTTACGGACAATATTCTCATCATCATTCAACTAAAAGAAAATCTCATATCGGCGGTCTACTGTGACAGCGTCTTTTGCTATTACATTAGGAGATTGTCCGTATGTTTTGTACTCCCCAGGGACAGATCAAAAAAGACTGTGATAGAAAACTCCTATTTCATTTGTATGTTAAGATATGGTGATATTTTTATAATCTTTTTTCCTCTATGGTCATTTCAAGTTTCTAAAGGTATCATTACAGCATCGAATCAAAACGGAACTGCTCTCCGGTGTGCCGTAACGTCATAAAACGTCGCCATTTTCCGTGTGTTGTGTTTATTTACCACTTTATTTGAAATCGAGAAATGCCAAAAATTAACCAAATGCCTTAAAATTTTTACAAATTTACAAAATTGATTGTGGAATTGAATTAGGATAATTTTAATTAAGTCTTATATATTTAAAACTTTAATTTTGAATTCAAACTTGTGTATTTTTTAATAAAACCTTGGTTTTTTTACTTTCAAACAAAAGTGCACATTCAAGCATAATAAAATCTTTTTTTTGCTATATTTTATCAAAAAAAAACATATATTAAAATGATAAATAAACATTTACTGAAATTTTCAGCTAAGATGCGCCCATTACTTTTAAGTTTAAACGCTATATACGATTTTGGACAACATTTATATATACTATTTCTACTAAATAACTTGCAAATGACACATAATTATTTACTTATATCTCTAAAACATACATTAATTAGAATGTCATTTCCATGTGGAATGACTGAATTATCTAAGTTTATTTTTCGCTAGCATGCGAAGAACGGTGAAAATATTTTCTTATTTAATTATTTATTTAACTGGACGTTCTTTCATTGTCAAATCGTTTTCCAGAAACTGCAGATAGAGTACATTTGACCTAAGGTCACCTACGATCATATGTACTCACCATGTTACTTGTTTTCTTATTTTTAAACGGATCATAAATGTCGAATATACTACTACACCAGGTGCTTCGAAGAAATATTTAACAATGTGTGGTCTTTCCTCATATAAGTAAATCTAAAATATCATGAGTAAAGCACTTCTTACTTTTTTTACTTGCAATTCCCGGTTCATTGTTCTTCATTCAATGATTTACTGTCTAAGTTACAGCCTGTAGAATCTAACCTTTACTACTTTGTTATATGTTTGCGTATAATAAATGACAAACTTCAGTTCTCCTTCTATTAGTTTTATCTGTCAAAAATCACTGAAAAATAAATTTATATGTCAAAATTAGAAATATTGAAGATGAACACCAATCACTAAGTTTTATACTGCGTGAAGATTTATAAATAGCCCAGATGAACTATTAATAGAAGAAATTTTAACTAAAATTTGTTAGTTTTCCTGTATTTATTTTCCTACATAATGGGCTAGTTATTTAAAAGATAAAAATAAAATTTGCTGGTCAAAAATCGTCATTATTTTAAGGTCGAGCATCATTTCTAAACGTTATTGAAGTGAATTCAGTTTTTAATTTAGCTAACAATTAATCAAACGTTTTATTTCCTCCTTGCTATTAGAAGAAACCTATAATTCAGTATTAAAGTAGAAACAGATACCGATTTATTGATTGCTCCAGAATACAATAGTTTATTTATTTATTTCTGGCACAGATCCAAAAAAGATATTCCTTCATTGACTGCTTCTCCCACCTGCATCTCAATGTAAATTTCTCCTTGAAATATATCTTATATAGCTGACGAAAATAGAAAAAAAAATTAATGGCTTAAAAAGGTTGGTAGATATTATTAACACGCTGGCTACATTTCCATAATGCAAAAACTAATGCAAATGATTTTTTTCTCATAGACAATCCACATCAAAGTTATGACAATTATTACATTTATGGTAATAAAATGTTAGGCAACAGAACTTTCCGGTAACATGCATGTGAATTGTTCATAATATGTAATGATGATAATAACATAAACACACAAAGCACTGAGTAAACTCTGAATCCCCATACTGGCATGGTCTTGAAATGGTTAAAATTTGTGGTATTTCACTATTATTCAATTATTTCTGTCTTTGTTGTCTCTTAAATCAATTATTTTGGCCTTTCTATGTTTTGGAGGTCCGTGTTTGCTCGGCTCCTGTTTTGTATTGTTTTATGGACTTTTGATCTTGAATATTGTTCCTCATCTCCAAATGTTTTATAGACAGCATGGTGTCGTAGCATTGTATTGACTTCACTACTACAATGTTCTTTACGACTTTTGAACAATTAATAAGCGTTTTTAGTTCTGAAAGCTAAAAGAAACATTAATTTTATCAGAAATTATTTGATTATATTGAGTACATGTATTACATTTCCTTTAAGCCTGAAACATTCGCTTTATTATTATATGCCATTCAGAAGAAAAATTCCGAGCATGAGAATGTATTAGAATGATGAAGTGTTAAAAACACCATCTTGTTATGAATATCTCCAAATATTATTTTTGTATCAAAATTCTTTTAGTGTCTGATTTTTAAGAGACTTAAGGTAAAATTCAAAATGTTCTGAAGTTATCTGAAAGGATATGGGACAAAATTACCCATATATACATAAAATGAGAATAATAATAAACCAGACCTTGGTGTTTTTGTCAACAAGTTTATTATTCCTATGTAGGAATACAGTAAACAACATAAATCAGGGGTACATTTCAAATGATAAATATATATACCACTGTTTGATAAATAGTCACAAAGATGATAACAACATAACAAAATGTGATTAATAATATAATAATAGTCTCCCTTTGGAAAAAAAAATGATTTGTCACGAGGCCTCATCCTTGCAGGAGTTACTGTCCGTTGGATACATACAACTATTGACAGACGGAACCCATATTAGTCCAGGCGAACACGTCTGAATTTTCTCCTGACCGGACTCGCACTGTATATATAAACTACAATTGAACGGATGAGCAAAGTAGCCATTGCTTTTCTGTAAGCAAGGGAGAATATCCGGACAGATTAAGTCGTTCTTTGGGTAGATACACGTTTGAGCATCTGGGTCGTAAACCAGGTTCATGGCACATGTGAGTTCTTGGCCCTTGTTAAGGCTGATACATTGTATAAACTTTTTACAGTCATCGGGATGAGGGTGAAGAGTTCCAGCTTTTGCTTTTAAACAGGGTTCTCGTTCATACTCTACAAAAATAAAAAATATATATATACCAGCTGATGCAAGACAATGATATATAAGGTGGATTCCATGTTTGTGTGGTTAATCCTTTCTTAAAATTCATAGAATATCACTATCAGTTTCTCTATCTTGTCAAATCTTTAATGAAATAAGAATATTTTTTTGTTTTTAATTCATTTTAACTTTGATTTCTTTTATAATACCCCAATAAGGTGAATATGTTTATATTCTTTACATAACCATTATATCTTTTGAAAAAAATTATTCAGAAAGACTTTGTTTGCAAAATTTATTTAAAGATTGGAGACATACATGATTTAAAGTATATTAATGTAATAAATTTATACAAACAAAATATACTCACAGTCAATAGAAACGCAACACCCTAATTTGAGGGTGAAAATTAATATTATAACTATGTACCAAAAAAGTACATCTTTTTTTTCAGTTATTTATTTTGATTTTTATTGATTTCTTTTATAAAATATTCCAATAAAGTGAATATGTTTATATTCTTTTCATGACCATTGAAAACCAAAATATTGTTAAAATTTATTAGAAAGATTTTGATTTCAAAATTAACTAAAAAGACTTCCGGTAAGAAAAAAAACATACGTTAAATAATGATTTAAAGTATAATAATGTAATAAATTTATACAAACAAAATATATAAACGTAGGCATTACACATATTTTTCATCAAAAATAGCAAAAAAGCACAAAATTTGATTTTTGTTGATTCATAAAACAAAAGATACTCAAAGGGTGAAATAAAGCTACCATATATCGATAGAAATGAATACTTACTGGGTCTTCCGGGGTAGACAGATCTTGTTTGATTGCTGGTGAATACTGTGTCTGTAGTGGTCGTAGGGGATGGAGAAGTTGTCACTTGGGTAGTGGTAGTTTTAGGACTGGCGGGTTTGTAACCTGGGGGTTTGGGAGGAGCTTTGTCAGGGTCTGGACATTCCATTCCTGGTCTGTCATGGACGCAGTTGTTTGATGAAGCATCAAACACCAATTCTCCAGTGCAGGTTTGTAGTATTGACTTTTTGTGTTCACACTGGAAATACTTATTGCAGTCGGTTGGATGTCTGTAAAAGCTTCCGTCTTGAAGTGAACAGGGATCCCAAGCAAGTACTGTAAAAAAGCAGTAAAATATTGAATTTTTACTACAGGAAAGACTATTTGGAAAAACAGTTTCTTGGCATTATCATAAATCTTAATTTTAATAACATTATTGTGTATTAAAAGTGCATATATTCATGTATATAAATGTACGTTGAAACTCATACACAATAAAGAAAATTAAAGCTAAAAATGTTTTCTTTTCAAACACGAGAAATCGAACAGCTTATTTTTACTATAAATAAAACGTTTTTATTTGAATCCTTTTTGTCACTTACACATTTCCCTGGTGGCTTCCACAGACACAATACTTTCAGTACTCTGATTAACAGATGAGGTTGTTGTTAATTTCTTGGTGGTGGAAGATGTTGTTATGTTAGTCACGCTCTCTGTCGATGACGTTGCATTCGTTAATGACGGTTGGGTAGTTGTAGGTTTTGTAGAGTGCACAGTGCTTGAGGAAGGTTTAACAGTGGTAGGTTTTTGAGTAGTGGGTTTTTCTTGTATTTTATTGAAACCTACTGGTGTTCTTTCTCGTTCAATTTTAATTTTAACTTCATCTAATTCTATTTCAAATCTATCAACCAGTGCTATGTTTGATGATGTTGTGTTGACTTTTGGAGCTGATGTTTCTATCACAGATATTATGTCCCTCTTTGAGGCGTCTTTTTCCACGAAAAATAAGGTAAAATTGATGTGCTTATCTCTAAAAGAGAAAAAAAGAAGTTAAGTCAGTTTTGTATTTCATTGGAAACTCTGTAACAGTAAAATATAATATAGAAACGTTTATAATTCAAATTAAGTCCAAAGGCTTTTCAAATAAATCAGAATAATGTAATTTATTTGTAAAATTTGAATTTTGATTTCAGGATATGGAACCAAAATGCCCCATTATGCAGAAAAACTTCTTTATGTTTAAATGGTTGCTTATGTACTACTTATATTTTAGTACTTACTTTATGGACAAAACCTCGCATCCACGATACGTGGATTCAAACTGACTTTTCTTGTAAAACGTATCCATCTGTAAAATATAAATGTTACATTTGTTAAAAAACACAACAATACAGAATGAACGTGTAGGCTGTGGTTGATAAAGGAATGCATCCATTACGTACATTGAGGTTAAAATATACTTTCTTAAATATTTTTCATGAAAGGGAAAAAGTATTATCATTATAAATTCAGTTTCGCAATGTGCGTTGTTCAAGACTTTACGTCATTTAATATCCATTTCAAAATTTGCTATGAAAAAATGTTTCAAAATGATTATGTTATTTTTTAGTAAGCAGATGTTTTGAGCAACACAAAACTGATGACTTAATGTTCTTAATATGTAAATATTGTTTTGTTCAACGTGCCTCCCTTCATTTTGCGTGTTAAAAAACAATTTTATACATTAATAAACATTTTAAACATTACAGTACATGTTTTCAGTATACTCCTTACTTTTGACACTGAATAACTGACGTCGGTATTCGAGATATAGATGTAGCAATAACGTATAGAATTTAATGCTTGCTTTTAAAAAAAATTTGGTCCGTAAATTCTATTGCTGGTAATCTTTTAATATAACATGCAAATGCATATTTATGCTGTAAATGGACGTGATACACTGCAAACGACATAATTTTGTTTTAAAATATAAATGAACGAGGAAACTAAAAGTACTGAAAGTACTGAGGTACATGTAACTAAATGATATCCCCGCCTCACATATATGGCAGAGCCCATGTTTTATTTTGCTCTGGGAGACCCGAAATAAGTGTCAGACCAAAGAGAAAAAATAGAAGATGCACTATAGCATTATGTAATAAAGAGTCTGTGAAATTAACATTAAATTTTATTCAGTGGTATAGGAGGAGTTGTGGATAAGAGATGGGCACCTTTCAATATATTAGAAAGAATGGCTGTGTCCATGTTGTGGGAAACCAAAAATATGTGTCGGATCAGAAAGCAAAATAAGAGGTATATAATGATACTATAAAACAAAGATTCTGTGAAAGTCTCATTAAATTTCATTTAGTGGTATAAGAGGAGTTGCAGATAAGAGATGGATACTCCAAAGCATAACAGACGTACAGACGGATGGACATCCCGATCACTATATACCCTTCCACTTTTCAAGTGGGGGTATAAAAAAAGAAATATGTACAAAAAATTATTTACATTCGTTTAAGAATGAGTTGATACCAAGCGGTTTGATAATATTGAACATGTGTATGTTGTTTAAAAAACTGAATTGAGTTTTTACTTATGTAAAAAAATACCTATATTATTTAAGATATAATGTCATGGTTCTTGAAACTTTAATATGCACACGTTTTTTACCTCCACAATTTAATTTTCTCATCATAATTAATTATTTTATCTCTGATGCTATACTTAACATAATTATTCATTTAATAATAAAAATGTTGACTCTATTTATTCTATTATATGGCTGCATAAGATAATACCCATTCTCTTCAGTGGAAAAAAAAAACCGCAAGTAAAGTAGTTATCCTATTGTCTGTGGCGAATTTGTCATAGTGTGTGACAGGTTCGTTTAAATCCGGAATTTTTGTTGCCTTTTCTTGACAGTCGTATCACGCCGCACTATACGGCCCTAAGATGGAATAATGACAATCCGACGTAAATCAAGTAAGTCGATGTCTTGATCGGGGAGTCGGCAGGTAGACCATTAACCAAACAAGAGATAGTGTAGATATATAGGTCTCACAAATGTCTCCAACATTGCCCATTTGTGCAATAGTAGGAAATTCAAATATTATATATTTGACACTGCCTGTGGTACATTTTCATTGCACTTTCGTGAATTCATCTAAATATACATAAAAGCTGAAGTTCATTGTTTTCTTTTCTCTGCATGTTACTTAAAATATCATGGAGTGTGCATATTCATACAATTACTCATTCTTGTTTAAGGAAAATTCTTGAGACATTCAAATATTTGATATTTGGCACTCTTTGTGATAAACACTATTGTAGTTTTACAATTTAATCTAAAAGTACATAAAAGTTAAAGTTCATTTTCTGTATGTTGCTTAAAACAGCTGTGTTTATGTGAGCACGTAAGTGTAAAAGTGGGACGATAAAGATCTTGCATTACATATCTGATATATTAGTTGCGATATTATAATAAATTATAAAATTATTTTTAAAAAGTATTTTATTTCATTTTCTGTCTTGACATTAAATCAACTGTTACATTATAAATAATAAAACTATTCAAACGAATTAGTATTTTATTCCATTTTTTTTTTTGTCTTGACATTAAATCAATGAATTATTCTTAGACTATATAAAATCATGTGTGCTTTGAAATTAATACTAGAAGTTCATCAATTTCATTGACTAAAACTTTACAAACACAAAAAATATACATGTACATATTATTGATACCAAGCTTCTATTAACAAGTTGTTTACAAACAGTTGTGTAGTTCATTTAAGAACACCGACTAAAATTTCATTTAAAAAATTTAAAAAACATCACATTTACAGTATAATCAATTGCTGAAAGTCTGTAGCTTAGTTGAGAATACAAAAAAGCACAAGATTGACTAACAGTATAACACGCTTTACATTCTGAACTTTTCTTGTCCAATCTTCCGAGGCTGCTTAAAAGTGAAAACGTTTTACCCCTAATCAACGACTTATTAGTTCTACAGTATGTTTGTAATATCACCATCATCTCTTCGCTTCGTACAAGCCGCCATTTTCCAAGAACAGGTACTTTCATTTTCAATTTTTAGATAGGTCGTTCGTGTATCGTTTCGTACCGATATTTGAATGCTTGTATCGTAAACCGTATCTTAGAGGAAAATATCGATATGTATCGGTGTATCGGTATATCGTCCCATCCCTAATATTTATACAATACTTATATATCTATATTTTAAACTTTTTTTTGTTTGAGCAAAAGTAAAAACGAAAATCCTTATCGTCTGATATTCTGATATTTTAGCCCCCTCTCCTCTATTTCCTAAGATCCGAGTTCCCAATAGACAGTTTGCCGACGTCCATGCAAAACCATACTGACACTGAGTAAAGACTGGGTGATGTATATGTATTATTTATAAACCCGGCTCTATTTTTTCTGTGGTCAGCAGGAAGTAAATGACCACTGAGTTTTTGCTGGGTGTAGGTAGACTGACAATACAGCGCTCTTGCACAATGTTTGACGTACGGAAGACGAATTTTATTTGGTTTTATATATATATATATATATTTTTATTTTCATTATCACATCAGGTTAATGCCAGGATAACATTTTCGTACTTGTGCAATATTCAATATATTCATCTACCAAAATACATTGACATGGCATATTTGCATATGAACGATCATATAAGACACAAACGTTATTATATGACTATAATTGTCAGCAAGCCCTCCTAACATTGACAGTGGGGTTACAGATGTAATCAAATAAAGTCGGAACTTAAACAAAAAAACAGGTTATTACTGAATATGGAAAAAAGCTTGTGTGGTCGTCGTCATTTCGAATTCTTCTATATAAAAGCATTTTGTATCAAATATTTTATATGAGTTCAATTGAGAACAATTGACAAATGAGATACCTTTGATCGAAATTCTATTTTCACTCTAAAAAATACTTTCCAATGAAAGAATTGTTCTTAAATTTGTACAAAAATCAGGTAGAAATACTTTTACAATGTAAAATATCGTGGGATTCGTGAGCTATAATGCATCGTCGGTATATTTAGTGTTGTTAACCAATTTTATTATGATGCATGCGCAATCGTGAGAAATAAATTAATTACCTGTTGGCAATACGCCAGTGCGATGTTATTAAAGTCATTTGATGAAAGATTTTCAAGGCTCTCATCAAAATTGCTGCTCTTGATTTTCAAAGCTAAATTGGCACGAAGCATCTCTGCAAAAAAAGAAATATATCTGTAATATGGAATGGAGGATACCATGTATATTAATGATTTGTAATGAGTCCTGGGGCACTTCTTACTTTATATTGGCAAAAAGGTACACTAAAGCTCACTTTTTAAACCATTATGTTTAAAATTTGAAAAATTATAGATCTGGTACATGTATACTGGTATATTTCTTCTGCAAATATTCTTTAAAATATCTACTCAAGATTATCTATGATCATTACACAAATAAACATTTTTTTTTACCGGAAAAAGAAACAAATTATAAATAAGGACACAAAACCGAATGTTTTCCAGAACATCTTTGTTGGCCTTGCCATAAAATGAAAACTATTTGTTGTTATTTGTGAATTAAGACTGTGAATTTTAATTAAGCGGTTTCACGCAGTAAAATAACACCAAAAAGATAGTCGAAACCCACAGTGACGTCTTGTTCTTAGCCTTTACACAAATTTTGTGTGGCCTTCCAGGACTTGGACATGAGCAAAGTCCTCAATTGTTAATTTGGTATTCAGTAATAATCTCCTATGCAACTTTAAAACGTCATTTTTCTATTTATAATTTACTTACCGATTTCATTTTCATGTGTTTCTGGAAAAGAGAATATAAATAAAATGACTATTTAAGCATTTTCATAGTGTGCCTCTATGAAAAGTTTTGAACAGCATTTCTCTACTGTTTAAATGAGTTATCGAAATTCAAAGCTATCTACCTGTAAATAGTTTACATACAAAATTCAAGTACTGTTATGTTTTCTGATATTAGGGGCAGAGGTTTACAAATAATCAGCAAATGAAAACATTAAAGAGATCATTTAATAACCACAATATAATTCTGATGTAAATATCCTTACTTTTCAATTCTACTGCAAAATATATCGCAGCTCCTAAACTGGCAGCAAGAATAAGCATAACACACATTCCAAATATTGGACGACAGGTTTTGCGAACCTTACGTCCAAATGGCTCTGGTGCAGGTTGGATGAAAGCAAATGGGTCTAATGTTTCTCTCGAACCATACAGTTTCCTGTTGGCCAAGGACTGAATATCTAGTCTAGAAGAAGTGGAACTTATACGTCTTTGATTGATATCATGGACACTTGTTTTACTATGTGCACTAGCTAAGCTGTCTGTTGTAGAACGAATGCGGCTGTTTCGAACCAATGCCCTATCACAGTCTCTTTTTGTATTTGAAAATGTCGAAGTTTGGCTATTTCTCCTTGTTTCCTCACGTTTAGACGTGTCTGAAGTCTTGCTAACACGACTTCGATCGTCTGAAAGATTGTCCCTTCTCCTTTGTTGAGCAGCACTATATCTCCCATCTTCCGACAAATTTTCCTGTCGTCGGCTGGGACTGTTTTGGTTTGGACGTCGATTGGCGCGTCTTTTTGGGCTCTCTACTTCTGAGACCTCGCTGAGGGAGGTTGTACTATACCCAGAAGTTTCTTCGATCTGTCGCCTCCGACGTCTCTTTTTCACTCTCTTTTCGTCTTCTGATACTGAGCAATTTAAATCCGACTGAGCAGTGTGAACTCTAGGTATTATTTGACTCGATGATAGTTTCCGGCCAGAAAGTTCTCCCGCATATGTTTGGCTGTGATGAAGTTGCCTCTGCAAGTACATTAAGAAACAATTTTATTACTACACACGTATGATTCTTATAAATCTAGTCATCAACACATTCAACATTAATATTTTAATTATTCCAACATAACTATTTTCATTTTTTTTAAACGAAGTACCCTTTTGTACGTATAATGAAAAGTTGAATTAAAAATATAATACCAAACGGCGTGTCAAATATTTAGAAGTTGTCATATCTATTTCATTTTTGATGTAGCTACACTACTTTACAAATAATGCATGTGCAATTACAAGTAAGAAATATACATATATATAAGTGTTTCCGGTCACCACATTTATTCTTATCAATGAAAATCATTCAAAGGTTTGCTCTTATCGAAGAACAAACGAATATTTCTAACACAAGAATTACGTCATATGCCCATTACTCACCCTACCCCAAACACGGAAAGTCTTGTTTTAGTATGATCGATAAATTGTGGCAAAATCCACGATGTTTTTTTTTAATAATATTACATTTATTTTTTTAGGAAATAAAATGTATAAGAATAACATATAGGTGAATTAAGACGGAGACCAAGAGGATATGATACATAACTCAGAATTCTGGATGTATAATCAGTGATGACAGCATCAAACACATCAGTAGCATTACACAAACTTTTAAGCAAAGCATAATACACAAATCTTTGTAATCATTAATATTTGGATAAGAATCATTGATAGCTATTTATAGTGCCTGTGTAATCCCTTTTTTGTCCATGCAGCGAATTACAGGGAGTGATACAGGGAAATACAGGGATGATACAGGGAGGTACGGGGTATACAGGTGGAACTGACATGTAGTACCAATGTATGTCTGTAATTATAAGATTTATACAGAGAGTTACAGGGAGTGATACAGGGAGATACAGGATGATACTGGGAGTTACGGGGTATACAGGTAGAAATGACATGGAATATCAGTGTGTGTCTGTGAAGTACTATGACAGTCATTATAAGATTTATACTGCGAATTACAGGGAGTGATACAGGAAAATATGGAGGGATACAGGGTTGTAAGGGGTGATACAGGGAGATACGGGGTATAAAGGTAGATTGACATGTAGTGTTAGTGTGTGTGTGTGAAGTACTGACAGCCATTATAAGATTTATACAGAGAATAACAGGGAGTGATACAGTGAAAGACAGGATGATACAGGGAGTTACGGGGTGATACAGGGAAGTAGAGGGTATACAGGTAGAATTGACATGTAGCGTCAGTGTGTGTCTGTGAAGTACTGACAGTCATTATAAGATTTATACAGCGAATTACAGATCATGCATGTCAAAAACGCCTATCATAAACCATCAATTCCAAGTTTAATTATCAAAAATATGGTCTATCAATTGCGTGAAATATGTGAAAGTGAATTATTTTACATTAAAAATTAATTGTTCGTAAACATATTTACATATCATTGATTTGTTCAATAGAGCGTAATTTTGATATTTCCTATAGGTGGAAGAATCCTGCAACGCTCTATCAGAAACAAACGTTAAAGTTAAACCACAAGAAAACCAGGTACACCATAGTTAACCCCCTGACATTCAACTGTGAGGTAATTATACATGTCTTAATGATCTATTACCCAAAGAATTAAAACCATAAAGTTTTTCTTACTATTACAGACATTAAATTCAAAATTCATCTTAATTTTTTTTTATTAATATCGCTTTCTTCCTTTAGGGAGTGTCGGTTTAAAACTCAGACACATAGCAGAGTTTGTTTTATGGTTACGTGGCTATTCAGTTATAAATGATAAAGTTGCTTTTTATTTAATTATTATTATAAATAATAGCAATTGCAAGGGAGTTTTCCAACTATAGCATTCATAAATCTGTAAATTTGTCACGATGCAGTTGATTATTCTTGTTTGCAATCATGCAGTTGGACCTTTTCTGCGTAATTTCAATATTTGAATTTTGGAGACTTGTTACTGCATCTTCAAAATTAGTCCACCTTTTAAAGTTTTCTTACAGCGAACACGAAAAGCAAGATGGATGCTTATGAATTTACAAAATGAACATATATTGTTATAACTCAAGATATCCTTGTCTTTTGTAAAACTGTTCTGATTAATTAAAGAATTAATTAACTTAGAAAGTAATCATTTAAAGGATGGTTTTTACCAATATATTTATATAGGTCAAACGTGCGAGGCCAGACCATTACAGAACAGTAATATATTTCTTTTTCTTTTTAATTACTAATTGTTTTACTCTGTTACTTTCATTGTAATTCATATTTCATATAAAGAACGTGATCTTTTAAATGAAAGTGTTTAGCTTAAAAACAACAGCTGGATTTAATTATTTAAATCACGTATTCCTGGCTGAAAAGATAATTGATTTATTTCCTAATCAATGTGTCCTTTTCGACAAAATTCTATTTCTGATATACTTTTAATTTTTTTTAATTGTTCTCAGATTATAAATGATTGTATTTTCTTATAAATAGAAAAAGTACATAAAAAAGGCTCATTCGAAAGTTGAAACCCGCCAGATTTCATGCAAAGATTCCAACTAAATGAGGTGAAACAATGCACATACGTTATGCAGTATTATGATACAAGTTAGCAACGTTTTTTATCAAGCATACTTGTTTGATCCATAATGGCTGTATGTACAGGTAAAGCTTTATAGTTGGCATACAGCAGATCATACTATTCAAATATTATAAGAAATTAATGAATCTGTGAACATTCGTGATTGTCATTTGATATTCAAATAAATTCACCAAACCGTTATGTAATATACAATGAAAACTCCCAATCGTACAATCCGTCACACTGTGAATTCCGACGTTGAATTGTTTCCAGTTATACTAATTTCCATGTTTTTACACTGTTCAATCCGACACCCTGTCTATTCCGATTTCGTCACCAAGTGCTTGTCGGATGAGACAGGTTTCACTGTACAATAAATTGAAACGCCCGAACCACGGGTGGCCAGTCTCATTTGTGGCCCTTATTCAAATGTACATAAAAAAGCAAATATGGTTTTTGCTAAATTGTTCTAGGCTGACCAGCTCTGTCTTATCAAAATGATATAATGTACATTAAAAAAGCAAATTCACATGGTTTTTCCGATAAAATTGTTTTAGGTAAACTGACGTTAATCTATATTTTACAGCTTTGTCTATGTTTACCGTAATATTATATAATTGCAAAACATAGATTATCTGATAAATACAGTTTCACGATTTGTAAACTATAGTTTACAAACCGTTAACTATAGTTAACGATCTGATAAATATAGTTTCACGATTTATGAAACTATGATTAACAACTCTTAACTATAGTTTACGATTGTAAACTATAGTTTACAAACGTGAATCTATGTTTTTCAACAAAATCTATTGTTAACGCTTATTACAGACAGATAAACTTAGATTATCATTCGTAAACTATAGTTAACAACCGTTAAATATAGTTTTACAGATGAAAACTATACTTAAAGAATCGTGATCGTTAACTATAGTTTACGGTTTGTAAACTATAGTTTACAGTCGATAAACCTAGTTTATCAAATGTGAAACTTGGTTTATCTCATTTTTGTGAATTTGGCGTGCCATATACTTGGGTTAGTAGTTCTTGTGGCCTTTGTGAACCGAATAGCAATCAGACCTAAAAACCAGTATACATCACGCACTTTTACATGTACTTCTTTGCTGATTTTAACCTTTTTTGGAAAGGTCGTTTTAGTTTCGGGTATATAAGCTTCCTTTTTTCAGCTTTCTTTGACATTTTTTTTTTAATATTAAACATGAATATTGGAATTGTATACGTAGATAAACATCCCAAGAATTTCATTTTGAAATTCAGACATTTGGTTGATAAAATTATTCTCTCGGGGCAAAAAATAATATTTTGCATACATTTTACTTATCCGATATAGGTTCAGAAGTACGCTCAGATCAGAGGAGATCTTCAGAAAATCTCATAAGTGACGATTAATTTCGCAATTTAAGCTACCCTTAGTCAAGCATGTAAAATTTTCACATGCAACACAGTTTTATGCCAAAATACAACCCCCATCCATCCATCCATCAAAACGCGTAACTTACCAGATCCCATGAATCGAAATATCGTGTCCATTCCATGCCATTACTGTACAGTGTATAAAGGGGCCAATAGAATGTGAGACATGTGTCATGGATTGGGCGTTATTGCGTTTTTTGGCCATTTCTGCTTTGATTGAGAACTTCCAATCAGGGCACCACGCTTCATTAACGTCTAGAGACGTCATTGGTGTCGCCACGGACATTGAACATGCAACAACTTATCATCAATAGCTTTTTTTTGTATTTTGTGGTCCATTGTGTAACCACCACATTGTACAAACGTGTATATTAATGCATGTGCTGAATGGTGTTATTTGTTAGGTTCTCATTTGAGCACGAGTTATGTTTTCCATCTAAATGCTGAATCTATGGTCAAATCCATTCAACTGAGATGTGAACTCATTCATTCAGGCTTGTCTGGTTTAAAAAATTTATATTGCTGACTAGGATTAAATACCCCCCCCCCCTTCCCATGAATTAACCTCTTCCAAGACCTACAGGCACGTAGCATCAGAGAAGGTGGTCCCTACATCTTTTTTTAAGGCATACCTTAAATTTACTAGTAGATTTTTATTGAGAGGCCTCTCACACTCTTCCCCTAGTTTTGTTGCAGTTTAGTCAAGTAAGGGTATTAAAGTAGTACATGAATAAAATGTTGAACTAAAACAATCTGACATACCTACACCCCCCTTCCCACTCCTACACACACACGTAAGAGGATTTTCGAGTTTGAACTTTTTTTTGGTAATTTTTTTTTCAGGAAAGTTAAATTTCTTTCCCTGACTGGCAAGCCCCAATCCCCCTTTCCAAAACGATGCTACATCTCTCAATTAGGCTAGAGAAGAAAAGGCATTCTCTCTCTCTCTCTCTCTATAAGTTTTCGCTATAGGCAATGCTTTTTGGGTAATTTTTTAAACTACAT